GACGTATGATGGACATACCGTCAGACTAATCAGAATATCTCTTAAAGAAACGAGTAGGCCTACATCATATAATATGACACTCAATATCAACAAGGATATACATATATCAATGTCAGGCAATCCAATCTAATATTTACAATTAGTAGATTACGATAGGTTTTTTTCTGATATATTTCATCTCCATTGAGACGAAGAATCGGCGAAAAAAGATCCGAAACTGTAATCTGATTTTAATTTGATTGCAGGCAATCAAACTGAAGCACTCATTTCCATAATCAGTGCCCATTAAAGAGATTGTTAAGAGGTTTTCTAAAAAAAAAAACTTATGTTTATCGGGGACATTGATAGCATCAATTTGTACCATTCCAATTTTCAATCAGACGTCTGTTGTTTTGCGATATCACTAAAACTAATCTAAGGGCCCTATTTGATTACAAAAAGTGTCCCCAATACACATAACAAAATTAGAAAACCTCATTACAACTCTTGGAATTAATGAACTGGGCATGATAGCTTTGTAAGGTATGAAATTGAAATGAATGGAGTTTTACGTCCTACTTTTCTGCAGCATGTGAACTAATGAAGACGGGCAACACCATGCAGGGTGCAATAATGGAAATTTTGCCAGGACAGCGGTATTAGCGTCTATGTCGTACGGATGGGACAATAAATCGAGCCACTGTGTGCTACAGGCTGTGCACGTTAAAGATTTCTCGACAGTTGGAAATCGTAAAAGAGTAGACTAATCCCGCTGTCCTGGCATTTCCCTTATAAATTTGGTTGCCAGCACTCTTTCCTGGATCTTTGATTACCGCCAGACATACATGAGTTCCAGGGCAGAGGAATTCTTGGTCCAAATGCCATTCTTGTTGTTTCTGACCAACCGATTCCAACTGAAATAAAAGTTCAATTATACTACCTCTTAGTATGAGCAAAAAATTGAAATTTTTAAACTTGGTTAAAATGAGTCTTTGTTTATCAGTGGACTTACCTGGTGTCATAACTATACAACAGAATCTCTCTATAATCTAATAAATCTATAAAACTAAGTAATTATTCATTATACTAAGTAATTTTAAAACATGTTTAGAAGTGTTTTTCAATAATTATTTAGTTTAATAGATATATCATCTTATATAGAGATTCTATTCTTTAGTCTTGAGTCCTGGTAAGTCTAACTGATGAATATATACTCTCATTGACCAAGTTTAAGATTTTAAATTTTATGCCCATTCTAAGAGGTAGTATAACTTTAATAAGCTATAAATAACATGAAATATATTTCTTAATATCCTTTTGCTCTGTCAATGATAAAAACATTGAGAAATCTCACAATGGAACGCATTTAAAGGGAACAGTCGGCATTTTCGGGGATTGATTTGGGTCTTTATTGTGCTTTAATAGTCTTACGAAGTACTAAAATCGCATAATCCCTTCAAATATACCTCAAACTAGAAATTTCACTATCTATTCCTATATATGTGTTTTCTATATATGGCATATAATCTCACTAAAATTTAACTTTCAACCATGAATAATTCTGGACACACAAGGATTTGAAGGCTCAAAGTTCGGTGATAAGCTGTGAACACTATAACAGATTATATAGGCTAAAAATATTCCTGTTTCTGAAACTAAGGTATGATTGGTCAAACGGATAGTGAAGATGATCCTTTAAATACTATAGATAAACAAAACTTACCATATTGTTCCAAAGGGATAAGGCAGCGGCTCCGTGACCCTTTCCACTAAAATGGAAACAATCTTCGGAGAAGTAGGTCATATCAATATTTCCCTTGCTACCCTGAAACACAGAAGAAGTCCGTTATTCAGTGTGATCTCTACCCTTAAATGTCGCTAAAGGATTACAGAGATCTTTTTCGCCTCAGAAACCGGTTGGCATTAATTTAGTTCCTCCATTGTCCCACCCCTACTGACAGCAGAAGATCCCCCCCCCCCCTCCCAACCACATTTTTAGCAATAATTCCCCCTATATGGTCTTCCAATTTGTCCCTTGCGGAATCCGGTTTATAGAAGATGCGATTTGGAGCGGTTTCATTATACAGTACTTACAGCAGAAGGTGGTAGTGTATTTTTAAAGAATGGTTGAATAACAACTGTAAAGTCATCCCGGGTATCGTATATACCAGTAGCTACTAGATCCTCCAGTTGTATCACATACTGATCAGCTAAACTCTTCAAAACACCAGCATTATTCTTATTATGTCCACAGTCGCACACCATACTGTAATTGGATGAATGAACGAGTTTCATGAATGAATGAACCTACTGATCCATCGCAATGCCTAACAACAAATGAATGAACCTTACAACATGATTTCGAGAATTTCCTTTAAGCTTTTCGTTGTATAAACGAGTGGGAGGAGCCTAGCTGTGTTATAACTAGGTTTCTTTCGGAGGCCCATTTTCATTTTACTCTTTTTCTGAAGGGCGAATGGGTATCATGACCGGGGTCAAATTTTAGAAAAATGGTATAAAAAGACACACGGGCTGTATAGTTTACAATCTGTACTTACATATGGGCAAGACTACACAAGAAACCTGTACTGAGAGCAGCTACAGGTGCGATGTCGAATATTGGTACTAAATTAACAAAGGCTCGGGGTACTTCGTTATGTAACATATCAAGAGCTTGTTTAATATTATTACCGTAGTTAACTGGACTCCATTTATTCTGAAAACAAAAGCTTAATATATGATTGTGATTATTTTGAGAAAAAACCACATTCATTTTGTGAAAAATACTTTGCTACATTTCAGGTCGCTTATTATTAATTGAAATGGGGGCGTATTAAGAACCCAAGAGGGGACAAAAAATGAAAGGCGTCTGTCCGAGGTCAAAGCCTTTTGAGGTCAGGGGTCTGCCAGAGGCTCCCAGAATTTGAGCATTATGAGGGCTTAATTTTCACTTCGAAATAAGACAGATCACAGGCCCGAGGTGAAGGCCATGGCCTATTGGCCCTCCCCAAAACGCAACTGAATTGAGGCTGAATTCAAAAAGCTGTCCTGTCGCCAGTCTCTCATTGGGCGTATTAGATGGGTTCCCTCGAGAAAATTGTCGAAAAATCTATTTATAAAGTATAAAACACAAAAATTTATAAATAAAGTTGTAAAATTGGGGGTGCAAACCATTTTTCACCCCCCCCCCCCTCCCCCCGCTCTGTTCAACCGCTGGTGCCACCACTGGTGTCTATTACAGCCAAGGTATAAGAACTAAGTTCGTAATAGCTTTATATTGTGGAGATGACAATATGAATGAATTATTTATATAGAAAAATACATACCACATCGTGGCACGAGGCACAGAGATCATTTCCACCCACAAACAGCGTGATGACCTTCCAATCTTTTAAAAAGTTGATACTAGTATCTTTCCTCATTCTGTCGATTAACAAACGAGCTTGTTCTGGCATATCACTATAATAAACATAGAGGAATTGGTCGAGGTATTGTTAATTCCTTATTCAGATATCCTGGTCTCTCAAAATATGTTGCAATAAAAATATATTTGTAGCAGACCCGTAGCTAGTAATATACCCGGAAGTTATATATTCGGAAGGGCAAATCGATATTCCCTGAGGGGCAAAGTAATATACCCGGAAGTAATATTACCAGAGGGGCAAAGTAATATACCCGGAGGTAATATACCCAGAGGGGCAAAGTAATATACCCAGAGGGGCAAAGTAATATACCCGGAGGTAATATTCCCAGAGGGGCAAAGTAATATACCCGGAGGTAATATACCCAGAGGGGCAAAGTGATATACCCAGAGGGGCAAAGTGATATACCCAGAGGGGCAAAGTAATATACCCGGAGGTAATATTCCCAGAGGGGCAAAGTAATATACCCAGAGGGGCAAAGTAATATACCCAGAGGGGCAAAGTAATATACCCGGAGGTAATATTCTCAGAGGGGCAAAGTAATATACCCCGAGGGGCAAAGTAATATACCCGGAGGTAATATTCCCAGAGGGTCAAAGTAATATACCCAGAGGTAATATTCCCAGAGGGGCAAAGTAATATACCCAGAGGGGCAAAGTAATATACCCGGAGGGGCAAAGTAATGTACCCGGAGGTAATATTCTCAGAGGGGCAAAGTAATATACCCAGAGGGGCAAAGTAATATACCCGGAGATAATATTCCCAGAGGGGCAAAGTGGATGCGCCCCCCCCCCCCCTCCCCCACATAAAAAATGGTTTGCACTCCTATTGGTACCCCCCACTTCATTTCTCTGCAATATGAATTTCGTATGTTTTTGACCCAAAATATGTGTCAGATTGCCCCAAATCAATTTTGGAACACTTTCCACAAAGGTGCCTTATTTTGAATTCGACCTTGACAGTTGAACCTCCGCCCACTCCCCTCATTATGTCAGACTGCCCAATGTTTGTACCCTCAGTCTCAGGAGCCTCCCATCTAATCCCTCCATTCCCCGTCCCCAGGCAGCACAGTCATACACTTTTGCCGGTGAAGCCATGCAGTACTAAGCTGTTCACTCAATGTTGAAAGATGTTGCCTTACTATGAAGTATCTCCGGGGTCAGCAACGTTAAATTTAGATTTACTTCCGCCACGACCTCCAGTTCCAAGAGAATAGCCATATACCCCGTTAAATTTCTTCAATATGTCTGAAATGAAATGAATTGAGTTCAAGACCTAATGCCAAATGGCAAATTTTTCCAGGACAGTGGCATCAGCCTACTTTTTTTCGATTTTAAACAGAGCGTCCAGCTTTGCCAGGACGAACTAGGTTGAAAGAATCCGAAGGTATTATCTCGGCTCATTCCAGGATTAAACCCTGAACCCCCAGCAAAGATCCATCCAGCTTTACTGCCAAGACGGACTAGGTTGGAAAAATCCGAAGGTATTATCTCGGTTCATTCCAGGATTAAACCCTGAACCCCCAACAAAGATCCATCCAGCTTTACTGCCAGGACGGACTAGGTTGAAAAAATCCGAAAGTATTATCTCGGCTCATTCCAGAATTAAATCCTGAACCCCCAGCAAAGATCCATCCAGCTTCACTGCCAGGACGGACTAGGTTGAAAAAATCCGAAGGTATTATCTCGGCTCATTCCAGAATTAAACCCTGAACCCCCAGCAAAGATCCATCCAGCTTCACTGCCAGGACGAACTAGGTTGAAAAAATCCGAAGGTATTATCTCGGCTCATTCCAGAATTAAATCCTGAACCCCCAGCAAAGATCCATCCAGCTTCACTGCCAGGACGGACTAGGTTGAAAAAATCCGAAGGTATTATCTCGGCTCATTCCAGAATTAAACCCTGAACCCCCAGCAATGGTCTTACCACCGGGTCTATTTCAATCTTATTGAATATACATGTATAGTGTGTAGTCAGAAGAACTTACTAGGTAAAGTGAGCTCTCCGGTATCCAGTGAACCATCGCCTCCAATGCTGAAATATAAAATGGAATTAGAGTTTTATGGGCTATGAGGTTATTGGATATTAAAGGAACATATTAGCTATTTCAGGGGTTGATTTCGGGTCTTGAATATATGTAAATAGTCGTCAGAAGTACTAGAAATGTACGAAAAATAGCAAAATTCCTTCCAACTGAAGGAAATTTCTATATATGGCAGAAAGAAAAGACGAGTTGTTTTTTTAACTTTCAAACGCGGATAATTCTGGAAACACGTGGATTTGAAGGCCAAAAATTCAAAATGGCCGTGAACTACGGTCGTGTGTGTTATTTCCATGTAAGAATCCTACGTTGTTTTGTATACTGTAACTGTAAGACACATATAGAGATAGGGTTTCTTGTATTTAGATTGATGACAAAGAAGAAGACCTATATAATATGAGATACGATTTGCCTGAAAAAAAGGTTTTATAATGAATGGTTCAATTTTCTTTTCTTTCCGATTATAATCTATCATGTTCGGTATTAGCAGTTTAGCCTAGTGACTTATGTCTTTTACAATATTCCAGAATGTCTCACTTATAGTGAAAATTATCCTCTTAAAGGGACGACTCGTCATTTTAAGATACTCTGTGATATATAGAAAATACATATATATAGAAACAGTGAGTAAAATTCCTAGTTCGAGATAGTTTTGAAGGAATTATGAGATTCTCGTACATTTCTAGTACTTCTGAAGACTATTTTCATATATTCAAGACTAAAATCACCCCCTCAAAATGCCGCAACTGTCCCTTTAAAGAGATTGTAAAGAGATTTTCTGAAAAAATTATGTGTATTGGGGACACTGACAGCATCCATTTACAACATTCCAATTTTCAACCAGACGTCTGTGGTTCCTGCAATTCCATTAAAATTATGTATTTGGTGACGTCAAGCCAAGGGTCTCGAGTGATAAAGCATAATATTTTGCGATAAGTGACGTCATCAAAGACGTGGTTTTTATTGGAATTGCAGACGTCTGATCGAAAATGGGAACGGTGCACATTGAGGCTATCAAACCTCTTTACAATCCCTTTAATGTACTGAGTATTTTTTTGGTTGGTGTTTTGAATTAAAGAGATTCTAGGAGAGAATAACTAACCTCCACGATAGACCTCTATATTCTATCAGATCATCTAGAATAAATGTTGCGTCAATTCCATTACCAGCCTGAAATTAAAATCAGAAATCAGCCTCCTTTTATCGGTATCAGCTGTCAGTTGTCGACTGTTTAAAGGGATAATTTCGCCACCCGTTCGACCAATCGTTCCTTGTTATCAGAAACGTGAATTTTTGAGCTAAGCTAATCAGTAATAGTGTTCATAGCTCACCGTCGTAATTTGAGCCATCAAATCCACGTGTGTCAAGAATTAACCGCGTTTGAAAGTTAAAATAACGACTCGTCTTTCTTGAGACTGCCATGGAAATAGCATATTATTATACCAAATACGGGTTTTGACATGGTCTTATTAACCACAGGAATTATGACGAATGGGGTTGTGGTTTGGACACGATGATACCACCTATCTGAACTAAGAGTGTAATTATAGGTCAACGGAATTATAAGTTTTTACCGTTAGAGAGTCGCCAAGGGCGGCAACAACTTTAATATCTCCTGGGTGAAGCTGATGAACTGAAATATTCATAAAACTGAATTAACATTATAAACTATGTGAACTCTCTGAAATGATGTCAAGTTCGAGTTCGAGTGGTTAGCCATGCAGTACTTTTAAAGGGATATTAAGGCGGCGTTTTTTTAAAATTCTGTGTATCGGGGATAACATCAAGTTGCACCATTCCAAATTTCAGCCAGCCCAGACGTGCGTGGTTTCTGCAATTCCACAACTGAGTGTTTGATGACGTCACTAATTGCAAAATATTCTTTATCACATGAGGCGAATAGTGACGTCATCGATCACTTAGTTTTAGTGAAATTGCAGGAACCAGAGAAGTCTGATTAAAATAAAATGGTGTAAATTGATGATGGTATCGGTGTCCTTGATACACATAAAAGATTTAAAAAAAAAAAACATTACAATACCTTTACTTTGAAAAAGAAAACTGCTCATCGCATGAAATGGTGTATATGCACAAAGATTTGAAATTAAAAATATATACCCCAACCCCCGACTCCACCCATCCCAACTTACCCGAAGAAGCTTCTCGGCCACCCCATGGTGTGGTTGTATGACAGTTGAAGTTGGGTACAGGGTAACGGTGGATGGCTCGGGTTTTAGTGTTCTGAAAATTGAAAAAAAGATATGGCTTGTTATATTACGAAAACAACATAATATGTTCAGAATTATCGGTGGGTGTAAAATTATCAATTCATAGACGGCATCATTATAAATTAGATCTGTGTACACGAAAAATAAAGAAAAAAATTATGATTTGACCAAATGAAAGCTTTTAAAAATATTCTTTTTTTGATGTAAAATGTTATGATTCCTGAATTTGTGCACGACCTTTGGCGCAATTTTAGTTTCGATTTTTTTGTCTTTTCTGGTCCTTTTCTGACCCAATTCGGACGTCTCGTCTTTCGTTCATGAAATATGATATGACACAACTCTTTCATCTAATTCCACGAATCGCTTTGCTAGCTGAACTCAAAGAAATATCAAAGACCTCAAAATACTTTTTCTATCAGCAAGGAACAACTTTTGTCTGTCCATTTGAAGAATCTTATGATTCTGTGAATGTGTGTAGGCCTATTTGTATTTGACACCCACCTTATTTGCTGTTTCCACGGCTTTGGTGTAGTTTGCCCGATGTTCCTTCCATAGTTTCATCAGATACGGACTGTTTGGTAGAGTCTCGTTGAAAAACTTGACATATTTTTCATAAAATGGAGCTAAACACGAATAAGAAAGGTAAATACATGAAATTTTGACATCAAGAATTTTGTTCGCTTCACAAAGTCCCTGCGTTGAAGGGGGCAGAAATTTGATTGGCTGGCGGTATAATCAAACTGACGAATGTTTAAGAGGCCCGTCTTTAGACCCTATCTTAAGTGGTTAAATTTAAAATAAAATAAGACGGAACGAGCAGATGAGCTCTGTTCACTGTTCAAATAGCTTTTATAAACCAATTAGTCCCAAATCAACTGTCCTGATGAGGATATCATATCCAAAACAACGACACGAGATGAACTCTGGTGGTTATAAGGGTCATGATAGTCCGATACATCTGCTGCTATTCTAGCCTCTGATAGATATTTTGAAAGTTGAATATCAGCCGACAATTATTTTCAAAATATCTATCAAAGGCTGGACAATCTTAAAGGGCATATTCGCCATTTTCGGGGGTTGATTTGGTTCTTGAATATATGTATATGTAGTCTGCAGAAGTGCTAGAAATGTACGAAAATCGTATAATTCATTTAAAATTACTTCAAACTAGGAATTTCACTTTCTATTCCAATACATGTCTCACTTTTCTACACATGACAGAGTCTCAAGAAAAGACGAGTCGTCATTTTAACTTTTAAACGCGGATAATAATGGACATATTGTATTTCAAGGCTAGCGTTTCGACGGTGAACTGTGAACACTATTACACTTAAAGTGATACTACGTCTTAGAATGAACATAAAATTTAAGTTCTCGAAATGGTCAATAAGAGTATATATTCATCAGTTAGCTTACCTGGTGTCATAAAGTTACAACAGAATCCCTGTAAAATCTAGAAAATTGGAAAATTCATGAAACTAAGTAATTATTGAAAAACGCTTAATCTTGATATTAAGCGTTTTTCAATAGCTAATTGCATATTTATTAAGTTTTTTGGATTTATCGGATTATATAAGGATCCTGTTATGTTATTTATGACACCAGGTATATATAAGAATATATGCTCTTATTGGTCACGTTTAAAATTTTAAAATTTTATGTTCATTCTAAGACGTAGTATCCCTTTAAGTAAACACATTCTGGGGTTTCTGACATTAAGGTGCGATTATTCAAACGGATGGCGAACGCGTCCATGAATGTGCAGTGTGGCATACTTACAAACAGCGGCTGTCGTGGCAATGAAAACCCCTAAAACAATCAAAACCTTCATGTTGATTTGAGATCTAGACCAGAACTGATTGGTACATAAAATCTCGGTAAATTTTTAGGCGTGATGACAATCTTATTTATTTTTTTTTATCTTATCGAGTAATATTTGGTTCATTTGCTCTGAGAAATTTAACAGACGTCGGGGATTAAATTGGTCGAGATTTGTGTCAGGGAAATAGGGTTATATGACTCTATAATGTGTCAGGGTTAATTCTAACAAAACACACTGTAGCCTTGGACGGTTGAACAGCATTGCCTCTGTGCCCTACTTGTTTCAAATAGACAATCCTCATCAGTAAATAGTTTAGAAAACGGAGGTTAACCTTCAAAGATAGCACTTAAGGCAAGGTTTTCAACCTTTTTCTGTTACCTATTTCAGTTGTTGAGAAGCTTCTACAGAGCTGGGAAACTAAGATCAGGTATCTTTGGGATTTTTCGACACCTTTATAGATCCAGTCGAAGATATAAATGTCAGAATAATCTACAATGACTAATCGTTATGACCATACTTCGATCCATCCTATGTCGAATGAACTGTCCCTTTAAAAAGTCCATTCCCATATTTTAGACCCTATTTTGATTATCCAGTATGAACTAGGCCATCGAACCTAAAACTCTCTAAAATGGGAAAACACAAATGTACTTACTTCCGGGGTAAATAATTTACGAAAGAAAAACAAAAAATTAGTCATTATTTTACGAAAAGAAAGGTATTTTATGTCGACTTTTCTGATGAAATGAACTTTGCGACAGCCTGACATTACATTGTAGAAACTGTCAATCGTGTAGGACTCTATTACGACATTTTTTTACTATGATTTCTTTAGACCTCTGATTTTGTACAATAAATATTGTGAAACTGAAAGACAATTGCTTTAAATTAAACGGTTTTCCCATCGACTTAGGTCATACAAGCTGGTGAACGTGACCCCAGCAACTGTTTCTTGTTAGTAGGACTGACTGATAGGCTCTGTTACTGTTCTGTCTCTCCCACTACATAAATTAAAGATGGAAAGAAGCGTTTGAATTATTCAGGACATATAGAACTATAAGTGCCTCTCTGCCAAGTTTCACATTGACAACACAACAGGAAGGTGGGAGGAGCGAAACAGCAACAGTACACATTCGTAGCTAAGGGTGATATTCCCATGGTATCCAGTTAAAACAATAACAAGTCAAAACGGTAACAAATTTTAATAGTCAAAACAGCAACACAAATTTGGTTAAAACGGTTCCTATTCACCTGAAAATATCTTAAAAGTTCCATCTGTCATTCTTATAGTTAAACTACATAGTCATAATTTTTATTCACTATTTCAGCTGAACAGATAGTTACTTGGTGCCAAGTAGAAGTACATTCTACAAACATCAATAACCGACAGGAAGTGGATGACAGATAATGAGTGGTGACCCATATTCAGGGGTCAATGGGGTTATTGTCTCGGAGCTGGAGAAAGATGGGATATCAATGGCTAAACTGGCTGTTCAGTGTGATTTGGCTGGCAAATATGACACAGCTCTCTTTTATTATGTAGTATGTATTGTATTGACTAATTAAAGGGACAGGGTTGCAGATGTTTGACCGATCATTCCAAATCTTCTAAGAAACAGGAAATTTTTAAGCTAAGCTAATCAGTAATAATATAACCAGCAAACTGTATGGAGACAGAGCTTTTGAGGTATATGCACCTACACTGTGGAATAGTCTCCCGCCAAAATTGAGAGCCCCTTGCACATACAACTTTATTAAAGGGCAATTGAAAACATGGATTTTTAGAAATTATTTTAATTAAAAGCAATTATAACTAGATACCATATTATTTTATATAATTCTTAAGTCTTTTCATTTTTATCACTTATTTTTCTTATTAACCTAATCAATGTAAAGACTGTTGAGATATTTTTATGTAACGGTCTATGAAAAATAAACTATTATTATTTTAATAGTGTTCTCAGCTCATTTGAGCCTTGAAATTCATGTGTGTCCAGAATTATCCGTGTTGAATGTTAAAATGACAACTCATCACTTCTGCATTTGCATTTCTTGTACTTCTGAAGACTATCTACATATGTATATTCAAGTTCCAAATCAATCCCCGAAAATGGCAAATGGCGACCATGGCCAATGGGTAGGCTTTTACTCATACTTACAAAACCAAATATTATACTTGATTTATTCCAGGAGGCAGCACAAGCCTTGTTTTTAGCGTCTCAAGCCGGGTCTAAAATTCCCAACATTCTCGGTAAAGTACAGGAATATACCTCTAGAGCTGAACAGCTGAAACAAATGGGTAAGTCATCGTGTTTTATGAGAAATTCTTAGTTTTTTCACTCTCTCAAGCCTACCGGCCACAAAATTATGCAATATATATCTGAGGGGCTGGTCAACTGGTCATTTTTTGTAACATCACACAAAGTACACATCATACGCTTTTACTTATATTATTTGGAGTTTAGGGTATATGACGTTTTATTACATTTACACTCACGGTTCAAAGGGTTGATATTGACCAGATTTGAATTAAAATTTCATTGTTTGATCCTTTCTAGTGTTTTTGTTTTGTAAAATTGACGCCTAATTGTAGAAAATTATGTCTCCTAAGTTTTCTAACTAATGATATCGAGTCATTATAAAACCAAACACCAAAACTAGTCCAAACTGTAGTATTAGTACAAATTCAATTTAAAACAAATTCAGTTCAGATATATATATAGATATGAATAGCATACTTTAGAAATATTTTCAGGTATAATTTACCACGTTTTTGATAATGAAAATTTTGCATACTGCCCTTTTAAAAGAAAATTGCTGTTGTTTCAGTGAATAGTACTCAATCAGCAGCCAGACTCGAACCAGCAGCACCTTTTAAATCAGATGAACAGTTAAATGTAGACCGTGCCAAGTTTTTGTTGAATCAAGGTTTTGATGAAGATGAGGCTGGGAATACAGAAACCGCCATAGATCTTTACAAACAGGCTGTTGAATTGTTTATCAAAATTGTGAGTTTTTTAGCCTTTTTTTCCAGGAGATGAAATGAAACTAATGGAGTCCTACTTTTCTGTACCATGTGGGCTAATGAAGACGGGCAACGCCATGCAGGGTGCAATGAAGGCAATTTTGCCAGGACAGCAGCATTAGCCTGCTCTTTTTCGATTTCCAACTGTCGAGGGATCTTTAACGTGCACAGTCTGTAGCACACAGGACCTCGTTTTCTTGTCCCATCCGAAAGACTAGATGCTTTTTCCATGTCAGCCCCTCTTACCTGCATCACTGATAGGGTGAAACCGGGTTGAAAAATCCAGTGATATTATCTTCACCTATGCCGGGATTGAACCTTGGACCTTCAGGTTAGCGAGAAAGCGTCTTAACTGACTAAGCCACCGCGGTCACTCACATTGGAGTGCCTAATACTTATTGCATCATGTGTTTAGAAACGTCCTAAAAACTTCTAGTTCTGAGGCTCACTGGAAATTTGGTCACAGTAAAAAAGTCACACGGTAATTTGGTCACTTTAAAATGGTCACACAGTAATTTGGTCACAGTAATACAGTCACACAGTAATTTGGTTACAGTAATACAGTCACACGGTAATTTGGTCACTGTAATATGGTAATTTGGTCACAATGATAAGGTCTCAAGGTCACACAGTAATTTAGTGACCTTATTACTGTGACCAAATTAACATGGACCTTTTTACTGTGACCAAATTACCGGGTGACTTTTTTACTGTGACCAAAGTACCATGTGACCTTTTTACTGTGACCAAATTTCAGATGACCCTAGTTACGTCACATCTTTCCCAATGGTTCCAAGTTTGTTGAAATGTACACATGACCTTTTCTTTTCTCAGTATTTCAGTCCAACTGTTTTTTTTTTTCTTCAGAAAAATGGGACCACAGATTCCTCTCTACAGTCTAAAATGACAGAATTGGCCACTCAGGCTTTAGACAGGTGGGTAGGACTTCAGTCTAATTAAGATAAGGCCAAACTTTTGTTCGGTTTTTAATTAACTTTAATTTTTAATATAGCCACTTCAGTTAGAGTCTAATGACTGCCCTCTTGAATGTTCGTCAAATTAACCTTTGTTAAATTTTTTGGTTGGTCTCCATTGTAATCTAACAAGATTTTTACCTAGGTCTGGTACTGGTGATGTTTCAAGCTATTTATAGCAGACAATCACTCGCCACTCTCCCACCAATCAGAATCACATTTACAAGCGAGTATTGGTAGTCATATCGTTCTACTTTGGGTTTCGCTATCCCACAATTCATAGTCGATATTTAGACATGGATTCTGCATGACGCTCTGTGATTGGTTGAAATGAACCTCAACAGTTCACGACCTTGGTATAAATCTACGAAAAAATATTAATAAGATTTGGCCAGACACAAAATGGGATCAAATGCGACAAAAAGTGGCATTACTTGTTTGGCCCAAACCATGAAAAATTACATCCATATATCTTGGGTGACCGCTTGAAACCTTGTATAACGATATATGACGCAGAATTACTTTTCGAAAAAAATGCAAAAAACTATTTGTACGTGTATTTTGTTAACATCTTTTTTATTATTTTTTTTACCGCTATACGTGGTCTTCATTCTTTGAAAATATAAACCTTGTATAACAATTTGAGATCTCAGGCCTATTGAACCAAAAACTCGTATAATAATACAGTATATGAGGTTTTTCATTTTCATCTGCAGAAAAGGAACATTGAACCTCGTATAATAATATATTTTACGAGGTTTTAAATTTGACTGTTTATATACGTGTTATTTAATTAGTGCTTTTTGAGTTATTTACAATCAAGCAAAGAATACAAGGTTTTGATCACAAGATCCGCGCTTTTACAAGCTTTCAAACGGTATCAAAAAGTCAAAATGACCAAATATGGCATGTACGAGGTTTCAAGCGGTCACCCACGACATCACGTCTGAGGAACGAACATGATTGATCAATCTATTGACTCTAAATGTTAAAACTTTTTTTAAATTTTTGATTACCCATTTTAGGGCTGAAGAATTGAAAAAGAAGCCTGATTTAGTCTCTACTATGGCAGCAACAAAAATAAACCCCACCCCTCGTAGGGTCATTCCAGGGCCATTAGGGTTCCTTGACCCTGAGGATGACCCCTCCATATCTCACCCCAGATCTCCGTCCCAACCTAAACAGAGGAACTCAGGAAGTGGAGGCTATACTAAAGATGAAATAGCAGTTTTAAGGTGAGAGGGTTTTGGGTCTATTTCATAAAAACCCACTGAGAGATTCTAGTCTTAAAAGAATTATAAAGAAGTTTTCTTAAAGGGATTGTAAAGAAATTTTCTAAATTTTTTTATGTGTATTTGGAACACTGAAAGAATCAACTTGCACCATTCAAATTTTCAATCAGACATCTGTGGTTCTTGTAATTCCACTACAACTAAGTGGTAGATGACATCACTAATTACATAATATGCTGTATCTTTTGATTAGTGTTGTCATCAAACACTTAGTTTTAGTGGAATTACAAGAACCACAGATGTCTGATTGAAAATTGGAATGGTACAAATTGATGCTATCAGTGTCATGATACACATTAGAAAACAATCTTTACAATCCCTTTAACTTTCTATGTGTCTTGTTATTAAGCAATCAAATTTTTCCTGATTGACCACTGCATGACATTGCCTGTCTTCACAGCTTGGCAATGCAAATGATTTTTATACGCCCACATCTCTCTATGTGGACGTATATTGTCGGCACCCCCGTCCGTCCGTCAACATTTGCTTGTAAACGCTCTAAAAACTAGATTTTTTCATGGAATCAAATGAAATTTGCTTCTATCAACATCAATTACTCGTAAACACTCTAAAAACTAGAGTGTTTGAAGGAATCAAATGAAATTTGGTATGTGCATACATATTCATGAAACGAAGGTCCGTCCGTCAACATTTGCTTGTGAACGCTCTAAAAACTAGATTTTTTCATGGAATCAAATGAAATTAGGTATGTGTATATATATTCATAAAACGAAGATCAAGTTCTAATTTGAGCTATTTTCGACCGTAAGAAGCAGAGTTATTGCCCTTGCCCTAAAATCTTGAATATTTACCATCCAAATGCCGTGGTGGGCGTATATGGCTTGAAGTCTTAAGCAATCGAACACCGATTGATATAAAACACAAGACAGAATTATATTTATTTTAACATTTTATTTCAGAAATACATCTTTTATAAATGGGAGAGAATATGTGCCTTTTATGGATGTGGATACCAAAGATAGATTTGCTCTTCCAGTCACTTTCTCGTAAGTTTATTTGTGTAGTTCTTCTCTACCTGAGATAGGAAAGGGGAATGGTTAAATTTGTTTCTTTTTCATTTTTCGTCTGTTTGTCTCCATTGTAATCTAACAAGATTTATACCAAGGTCGTGTACTATTGATTGTCATTTCAACCAATCACAGCTTATCATGCAGATTCTGTGTCTAAATATTGACTATGAATTATGGGGTTTATTTGTTACTAGAGTAGAGATGTGCATTAAGATTTTTCAACCCAGTTAATTAGGAGAATCCTAGACCCCCTTTGCTACAGGCTGTGCAGGTTTAATAAACCTTGAAAGTTTAAAATGAAACGTAGTCCAAAGCTGAGATTCCATATACGCGTCATGCGGATGCGTCATGCGGACATAAATGGCCCTTGCGGATCCGTCATGTGTCAAATATGATTCCATATGTTGGTCAAACGTATGCGGTATCTTTCATTTGACACACGGACTTCTAGACAGAGGGATGCTTTGGTGCATAAAAAATACAGGGAATCCTCACAATATACGTCACATTAGGGAGATCTCCGCGCGGAAAGGCGTCCAGATGTGTCAAAAATCGCTACACCCGGCAATTTTTTTGACGCATGACGGATACCATTTGACGGATACCACTTCCACATATATGGAATCATACTCCTTAAACCAACCATTTCGATTTTTAACGCATGACGGATCCGCATGACGCGTATATGGAATCTTAGCTTTATGGTACTATCTTTGCTAACTCATGGTATTGCTTTTCTTAAGGGGCTAAACACTAAAATACACAACATCTTTCTTAGTTTTACGCTTCATGAATTTCTTGGCAATGGGGTAAACTTTTCAAGATTTCTTAGCTGATACAGCTAAATTTTGTTTGGGCTAATTTTCAATACCTTTTTTTTTTAGATAATTATGTTTGCAATGAGGTAAACTTTTCAAGACTTCTATGATATCAAAACCAGGTTGTCTGATTACTAATTGTCTTTTTACAGAGATAAAGACGGTAAACTAGCCTTATCACCCAAACAACATCGTGATTTTTCACGCTGGGTTCGACCAGATGAGTTTTGTGATGATCCAAAGATGATTTTTGCTGTTTCAAGTTTTAGTATAAAACAGGTTTGTAAGAAGCCATTTCTTTTTTATACGCCCATATATATATTGTCCCTGTCCGTTGGTCGGTCAACATTTGCTTGTAAACGCTCTAAAAACTAGATTTTTTGATGGAATCAAATGAAATTCGGTATGTGTATACATATTCATAAAACGAAGATCAAGTTCAAATTTGAGCTATTTTCGACCGTTAGAAGCAGAGTTATTGCCCTTGCCCCAAAATCTTGAATATTTACCATCCGCATGCCGTGGTGGGCGTGTATGGCTGTGGTCCATTATCTTTTTGTAATAATTCAGATCTTTTTTCTTAGCTTTTATTTTTAATATAGCCACTTCATTTAGGAATTTTGTGAGAAAGTGGAGGAATTTGATTGGATAAAGCAGAGATCATCTGGTTAGGTCAAAAGGTTATTGTGATGAATGTTGAAGTGGCTATATTAAATATAAAAACTGATAAAAACCGCAATAGAAAAGTAATATTATTAAGAATGTGGACTCTCTGGGAGTAATGTCAAGTTGGCATAATTAGAAAATAAAAAATATTAGCTATTGCTAAATAAAGAATGTCAAGTTATTAAAAATGTGGAGTCTCGGGGGTGTTGATTTGACAAAACCTATTACCAAATAAATGTTGTTAGCTATGTGGACTCTCTGAAAGGGATGCTGAGTTGACAAACCTAAACACCTTATAAGCAAAATAAGAGATATTTGATGGACGGAATTGTCTTGCTTGAACAGATTTTTTATTAAGAATATACTTATATTTATATTATAGACTGTGGTATCAGATTGTAGTTTTGTGGCTTCATTAGCCATTAGTGCTCAATATGAACGCAGATTTAAAAAGAAATTGATAACTAGGTAGGTTTAAAGGTATACTACCTCTTAGAATGAACATAAAATTAAAGTCTTAAACTTGGTCAATAAGTGTATATATTCATCAGTTAGACTTACCAGGTACCATGACTAAAGAATAAAATCTCTATATAAGATGATATATCTATTAAACTAAATAATTATTGAAAAACGCTTCTAAGCATGTTTCAAAATTACTTAGTTTAATGAATTATTACTTAGTTTTATAGATTTATTAGATTATAGAGAGATTCTGTTGTATAGTTATGACACCAGGAAAGTCCACTGATGAACAAAGGCTCATTTTAACAAAGTTTAAAAATTTCAATTATACGTAAGTATGGGTGTATATCGTGGTTGCCCCTGTCGGTTCACATTTACCTCATGCTCACTCTACAGGCTACAATTCTCTATAGATTCTTTTGATCTTTTATATTTGTGTCAATATCATTATGAAGATGTGCACTATTGAATTTGGTGATTTTCCGATGATTTTATCGCATAAAACTCTGATATCGTGTTTTTTCACTTTTTTGGCTCGTGCTCACTCTACAGGCTACAATATAGAGTTTGTTTTACAGTTCACATTTAGCTCTTTATCAAGCTGCTGGTGGGCGTATTCGCTTGCGAGACCTATGTTTTGGTCATCATAAGAGAAGGTCAAAACAAACTGTGTTTTATATTTTCAGCATCATTTACCCTCAAAACAAAAATGGAGAACCAATTTATAATCCATGTGGTAAATATATGGTCAAATTACATATCAATGGAGTTCCTAGAAAGGTGAGTAACTCCTTCCTCCTGTTCAGTGACTTGATGTTGACCTGTGGCGGACTATGCAGATCATGCTTACTCTTTTCCAAACACCTGACGATACTTGTCCTTGGAGGAGTCGACTACTATGCAACGTTTACTCTTGATTTTGACATACTTTGGACAAGATTTTGGTTAACGGAATTGTCTTGCTTGGATTCTTACTTTGTCCATACTTTATCCATACTTTCTTTATACTTTCTTTATACTTTCTCCATACTTTATCCATACTTTATCCATAATTTATCCATACTTTATCCATACTTTGTCAATATTTTGTCCATACTTTCTCCATACTTTCTCCATACTTTATCCATACTTTATCCATGCTTTATCCATACTTTATCCATACTTTATCCATGCTTTGTCCATGCTTTGTCCATACTTTATAAATCCTATCTGTTTAAGCATGTTCTCTTTAACTTCGTTTGTCTTGCTTGTAAGGTTTCTTACTTAATCCATACTTTATCCATACTTTATCCATACTTCATAAGTCCTATCACTTTAAGCATGTTTTCTTTTACTTGGTTGGTCTTGCTTGTATGGATTCTTTCTTTATCCATACTTTATCCATATACTTTATCCATACTTTGTCCATACTTTATCCATACTTTGTCCATACTTTGTCCATACTTTGTCCATACTTTATCCATACTTTGTCCATACTTTGTTCATACTTCATAAGTCCTATCTGTTTAAGCATGTTCTATTTTACTTGGTTGGTCTTGCTTGTATGGATTCTTACTTTATCCATACTTTATCCATATGCTTTATCCATACTTTGTCCATACTTTATCCATACTTTGTCCATACTTTATCCATGCTTTATTTATACTTTGTCCATACTTTGTCCATACTTTATCCATACATTGTCCATACTTTGTCCATACTTTGTCCATACTTTATCCATAATTTATCTCTACTTTATCCATAATTTATCCATAATTCATCCATACTTATCCATACTTGTCCATACTTTATCCATAATTTATCCATAATTTATCCATAATTTATCCGTACTTTGTTTGTACTTTGTCCATACTTTATCCATAATTTATCCATACTTTATCCATACTTTATCCATACTTTATCTGTACTTTATCCATACTTTATCCATACTTTGTTTATACTTTATCCATACTTTATAAGTCCTATCTGTTTAAGCATGTTCACTTTTACTTGGTTTGTGATATTTCTACATCTTTTTTTATTTCTACGAAATTTCACAATCTTTCTTAGTTAAAGGGATTGTAAAGAGAGTTTTTAATCGCAAAATATGCTTTATCACATAAGACCCTTGGCGATTAGTGACGTCACCAAACACTTAGTTTTAGTAGAATCGCAGGAACCACAGACGTTTGATTAAAAATTGGAATAATGAAAATTAATGCTATTAGTGTCCCCAATACACATACAAAATTTCGAAAACCTCTTTACAATCCCTTTAATTGTGCCCTCTTATTCCAATATTTTATAGATTATTTCTCTAAATAAATTTTAGGTTGTGATAGATGATTTTTTACCAATGGGAAAACGTGGAGAATTATTGTGCTCCTTCTCGAATAATAAAAATGAATTATGGGTATCGCTCCTAGAGAAGGCTTACATGAAAGTAATGGGAGGTTACGATTTTCCTGGTTCAAATTCTGTAAGTTATGCACAAATTTCTTCAGAGTCAGATACTAGACACTAGATGCATCTTTTGTTTGTGTCATAAAATCCCAGTGTTGAAGAGGGCAGGAATTCGATTGGCTGTATCATCAAACTGACGAATGTTCAAGAGGCCAGTCTTTAGACCCTAACTGAAGTGATTGAATTAGAAATAAAAGGTAAAAAAGGGGTGCACATTGTACATGGGTAAATGGATTTTTCCTGATTTTAATGGGAAAAGGAAGGAGTGCGCATTATACACAGGTGTGCATTATATTCGGAAATATACGGTAGTAAAAATGGAATTTTATCTTATTTTAATAAGACTGGGTCATGTTCTTATGTTGAATAATTTGAATGAACCAAAACCATAGAGATTGAACAGCCTTTAATTGTCAGACATTTTATTTTTAGAATATAGATCTGAATGCTTTAACGGGTTGGATTCCAGAACGTGTGGCTATTAGACTAAATTCACCAGAATTCGACAAAGAGAAGGAATTCAAGCGTCTGTTAGACAGATTCCATAAAGGACATTGCCTGGTTTCTGTGGCAACTGGTGAAATATCAGAAGCAGAAGGTGAAAGAGCTGGTCTAGTACCGACTCATGCGTACGCCATGTTGGATATACGAGAGGTCAAGGTACTGTTATTTCTTTAAAAATTTGAAATTAGTTTTCATAGAGTTTCATTTTATTTTTTGTAACTAAGGGCCGCTCGATTGATGGGTTCTGTATGTTCAAGATTTATGGAATCAACAGAACGTTAAGTAAAAGTTTGAACATGTGTGCTGAAAAATTAGTAGTTGTAGACAGAATTCAAAATGGCAGAGAAGGAAATAGTTGGAACATTTTGAAGGTGACGTATTCGCTCTCAAAAAGTTCGATTGTAGGCAGAATTGGAACAGATGGAACCTGTCCAGAACTCACCAATCGAGTGCCACCATTGAGAGTATATTTGTGCAAATTAGCTGTCATTTTGGCAATTCCAGTACTAACTTGCTGTTTGTTCCAGGGCAAGAAATTATTTATGTTAAAAAACCCTTGGAATCATTTACGATGGAAAGGAAGATACAGTGAAAACGATGATACAAGTTGGACACCAGAATTACAAAAAACTTTAAATTATGATCCCAAATCTGCCCAACTCTATGACAATGGTAGGTCCTTCATCTATATATATGCGACTTCTTTTCAGGTAGTGATGGTGCCAGCCTCCCGAGACATGGGGTACAAAAAGGGGGCAGACTGATTTATGGGGAGACAACTGGCGCGGTTGAAATTCAAAAGATGGCTACTCCGTGGAGGTGTCATAGTCACACACCTCTCCTGAAGTGTCTGAGAGAGTTCTCCAAAGAAAATTTGAACTGAATTGAATAAGGAATTGTGGGATATCAAAACCTAAAGTAGAGCGATATGACAGTCTCTTTGGGTTTTTGCTATCCCATAATTCCTTATTCTATCAAATGATCAAGATTTACATGACAACCTGTGTTGAAATGAACTTCAACAATATGTGACCTTTTAAGTTAACAATGGAGACAGCCCAAAAATAATGACCAAATGAAATTGTGATCTAATTTTGATTAGATTGGTCTTTACTAAAATGATTTATATTTTGTCTTGATACAGGTGTATTTTGGATAGATTATGAATCTATATGTCGGTTTTATGACGTATTTTATATTAACTGGAATCCAGATCTATTTTCACACACAACCTGTTTACACAAGTAAGCCATTTTGTTTTGTTTTTTTCTCAATGTCAACCTCAGTCGACCTTTGGCGTAGAAGTATTCACAGTGCAATCTTGCACAAAAAAATATTGTTTGGAAGTTAAAGATTGTAAAGAGTTTTCTAAATTCTTTATGTGCAAATTGATGCTATCAGTGTCTTCGATACACATAAAAAATTTAGAAAACTCTTTACAATCTCTTTAATATTAATTCGTTTATTTTTCAAGTACCTGGTCGGCGAAATCGGGACCTAAAAAAGATTCGTACAATATCAGTGACAATCCTCAATACAGACTTGAGATCAAATCACCTGAGTCTTCAGCTGTCTGGATATTATTGACTAGACATATTACAGATAAGGTAGAGTTATATTTCTTTAATCTCTAGAGTCGTAAGCAGTGTGGATAAAGACTTATGTTGCATTCGATACCTGCCGTGAAAATAGTGTTAACGACTTTCTTGCAATTCCGTAACTCAAGCACAAAAGTTTGGGCAATATTCACAACTTTATAAGTAAGGTGAAGGTTGTAGTAGTTGTGAAAATCAGTGTCCACAATTTTTCTCGATAACTAACATTAACCCTGTAAACACAGTAATCATGAAAGGTATCGAACAAGGTATATCAAAGCATTTTCAGTTATAACTGTTTCAAATTTAGTTGATCCTCTAAATAATCAGTGAATCTTTGTGGACACCACCTTAAAATGATACTACGTCTTAGAATGAACATAAAATTTATGTTCTCAAAATGGTCAATATGAGTATATATTCATCAGTTAGCTTACCTGGTGTCATAAAGTTACAACAGAATCCCTGTAAAATCTAGAAAATTCATAAAACTACCAGGTAAGTAATTATTGAAAAATGCTTAATCTTGATATCAAGCGTTTTTCAATAGTTTATTGAATATTTATGGATAATTACTAAGTTTTTTGGATTTATCGGATTATAAGAGGATCCTGTTATGTTATGTATGACACCAGGTATTTCTACTGGCTCTTATTGGCCAAGTTTAAAATTCTTAAATTTTATGTTAATTCTAAGACGTAGTATCACTTTAAGCTGCAAGCAAAGAAATAAATGATATAGTATTGAGTTATTGCCCTTGATCAGTCTGTGTACATGTACATGAGAAAATATTATGTTATATTTCAGGCTGATTTTGCTGACAATAAAGAATTCATTACAGTATTAGTTTATAAAACAGGCGGCAATCAGGTTTTTTATCCTTGTAAGTATCATTTTAATAATCTTTTCTTCCAATAGTTCATAGTGTTTTGAAAAGAGGGAATCAGAACAAAATTTTTAATTTTATTTGCACATATCTCTATGTTGACATTGTCTGCACTTGTGTCCCTGTGGGAGGCGCTCGATTAAAGTGTTCTGAACATATTCTGTTTGTTCCAATTTTGCGCCCAATTGAACAGTATGAAAACGGATTATGTCGCATTTTAAATTTTCCCATCTATTTCCTACTCCGCCATTTTGAATTCTGTCTTCGCCTACTATTTTTTTCGGCATACATGTAATGTGTTCTAAACTCTGTTCTAACTTGTTTTATTGAACGTCTGGTTGATTCTGTGAATCCTCGAACGTACAGAACTCACCAATCAAGCCCTCCCCCCTCTGTTCCTCCATCTGTTTTTTCATATTTCCAGAAACTCTCTAAAGATTTTTAATGATTTTTTTTAAAGTTTATCGTTTTACGAGCCACTACTGAAATGGTCATATTTGGATGTCATCAGCAATAGTAGCGCTCGATTGGAAAGTTCTGAACAGGTTCTGTGTGTTCACTTCTGCTTCCAATCTAATGGTATAAAAACAGATATGGCACATTCAAAATGTTCCCATCTATTCCCTCCTCCGCCATTTTGGAATCTCTCTGCACCTACTATTTGGCTCTCATGGAACTCTGTACTCTGTATTTCAGACGACCCACCACCGTATAAAGATGGAGTGAAAATAAATAGTCCACATTATTTATGTAAATTAGTTGAACCCAAGGGGACATCACTCTATACACTAGTGATATCACAGTATGAGAAGAACAATACAATAAGATACACGCTACGTGTTTACTCTACAGCTGAATTCAAACTCACCAAATTTACTGATCCTTATCTTACTCAGTTTGAGAAACATGTGGGTATTTTTAGATATTATTTGTAGGCTAAAGCTAAGATTCCATATACGTGTCATGCGGATCCGTCATGCGTCATCTGTCATGCGTTAAAAATCGAAATTGTTGGTTTAAGAGGGTATGATTCCATATATGCAGAAGCGGTATCCGTCAAATGATCTCCGTCATGCGTCAAAAAAAAAAAAATCGCCGGGTGTAGCAATTTTTTACGCATCCGGACGCCTTTCCGCGCGGAGATCTCCCAAATGTGACGTATTTTGTGGGGATTCCCTGTATTTTTTATGCACCAAAGCATCCATCTGTCTAGAAGTCCGTGCGTCAAAAGAAAGATAACGCATACGTTTAACACACATATGGAATGATATTTGACACATGACGGATCCGCAAGGGCAATTTATGTCGCAGCGCATCCGCATGACGCATATATGGAATCTTAGCTTAATGCTGTTAAATTTCCCTCAATATTGTGAGGTTCTATAGTTCAGTCGGTTCGAGTGTTGGTTCTTTACATGACGTCATTTGCATGGTTATCACAAGTGAATGGTGGCTGTGGGTTCCGATCTCGATCAGCGTGAAAATGTCTGATAACCTTAGATAAGTCATCTTAACTAATAATTCCAGTCCACCCAGCTGTCAATGGGTACCGATAATCCAGAAAAGATCAATGCCAAAAGGTTAAGCCAAGGCCCAGCTGGTAGAAAGAATTAATTGTGAACCTAAGTTGTTATCCTTGTAAAATATAGTTGTTTCTTTCTTTCAATGCATACTGCATGGTATTAACCGTCTTCGTCAGCAAATGAGGATGTGAAACTCTGAAATTCTTGTTGTTAGCAGTGGCTAAACCACCACAGGGACTGGTTGAACCAAGTCCAAGGGCCCCACCCCTAGAAAAAAATGCAGGAGAGCATATATTTAAAAAAAATCCTGGGGGCAAGGCCCCATTCCCTACAGGCCCCTACTCATCTATTTGAGTTCAAATGCACCATGCACTGATTTGTTTTCATAGAAGCAGTGAGTAAGTAATTTTCTGTTTGTATTTCAGATCAATGGAAAGTGGAGTACTAAAACTGCTGGGGGTTGTTCTAATTATCCAGATACACACAAAAACAACCCAATATACCAAATAAAGATAGACAATAATAGAACAGATAATTCTTTACTAATTGAACTCAGAGCTTACAAGTAAGTTTCTGTTCTTTAGACACACTCCTATGCTAGTCTATCTCCGAGGTCACAAGTAAGTTCCTTACACCTTTCACCCAAGTTCTGACTCTACCAGCCACATTATTAGCTGTTAAATACCTGATCAGCTGGTAAAGTGGCTGTTACCAGGTGATCTCACATAACGTTGGTGTATGCTTTAAGTTATATAACTTGGAGTTCATGGTATAGAATGTCTTGTTTTTTGTATGCTTAGTGTTCAAAAGGAAAAGTTGTCCTGATGAGGATTGTTTATCATAACCATGTCAGCAGCATGATATGAGTTCTGGTCAGTTATATAGCTGTCCTGATGAGGATTGTTTATCTAAAATAAATGTCATTTCGAGGAAATGGACCTATGCTATAACACCGCGGTCACGCCACCATTTGCGATTTTACAGCAACCGAAAATGTACTGAGTCTTAGCAACTCAATAAAGACGCCTTTCCAGTGTGACAGGTCTATAATTTATGATTTATAATCATATCATACTGCTTACATGTTTCTGGTATAAAATCCTCATCAGGACATTGAAGGAAAAAAGAAGTATGATATAACAGAATGATGTTGACTATTTTAGATCGTACAGTGTTGGTATTCAGGCTGTCTGTGTAACAGACAATGTACCTAATTCACCAGGATCTATTAAGAAAAAACCTTCGGGAGATTTCAGGTAAGATTTGTCATACTCAATCTAATTAAAATTAAATTATAATTTCGTATCTTTTTCATTTCCTGATATTTTTTATCTCAATGGTAATCTTACAAGTCTTCTGCCAAAGGTTCTTCCAAAAGGTAGTATTATTAACCAATCAAAGTGTGTCATGTAAAACCTTAATCTTGATTAGATAAAGAATTGTGGGATATTGAAATCTTAAGTAAAGCAATATGACAGCCTATTTTGGTTTCGCTATCCCATAATTCCTTATTTTATCAAGAAATAGGTTTTGATTGGATGAAAAAAAACATCCTTGGGACAAACCTTTGGAAGAAAACTGTTTAGATTACAATGTAGACTAAAATATCAGGAAACAAAAAAGATAAGGAATTGATATCTAACCTCATTTAAAGTTCCTGCTATCTTTGCATAGGGTCAAGGTGAAGGTCGTTAAGTTGTGAAGATCAATCTTGACAATTTTTCTCCATTTCCACCACTCTCCAAAGTAGTAGATACAAGAGAAACCCAATATCGAACAGAAATTCACAACATTGACCCTGTGAACACGATAATCACAAGAGGTATCGAATGAGGTATGAATAAGCCCTTGATTTTGGTATTTTCATTTCACCACAATAAATTGAAATTTGGAATGATTTATATAATTTCAGACCAGGATATTGTGTGTTACAGTTAAACAATCTACCAGGTGGTGTGTATAATATCATGCCCTGTACGTTCAGACCCGGGCAGGAGGGAGATTTCTTCCTAGATATCAGTAGCTCCGTCCCCTACTCTATATCCCACGTACAATAGTAATATTTATATAGTGTTTCTGTTTATATTTCAAACATATTTCATATATCTTAACTAAGTGTTTATATTATATGAAATTTAAGAAATGAGTTGCCAGATTTGATATTCCTCAAACCTTGGCGAATTGCATATTACACAAGCCTAATTAACCATGACCTAATTTGCATAGTTATTAACCTGTGCTATAGGTTCATCTCAGTTTTATTAACCTGTGTTATGAATTTCATATTACATTAGCCTAATTGACCATGACTTACCTTGCATTGTTGGTACGAGTTCATATCAGTTTTATTGACCTGTGTTATGAACCCAAGAACAGAACTGTTGTGTGATAAGTGCTATTCAGTATCCTACACAATCTGATGTGTAACTATAAAAGTGTGATATCTATCTTCCTTATGTAATAATTAGCTAAAGCAATAACTAATTTCTGTTCAAATTCTTGATATTTGATGCTTTTTACTATTGACTTGAACAAAAACAGTATATAATATATAGTACATAGCCAATAACAACATACCCTTGTATTTATTGTTGATGAAGTTGTTCTGATTTATTGTGATATACAATTATCAAATTTGACCGTATTGAACAACTTGGCCAATTCCAAACAAAGTTGATTGTAGTTTTGGAGAACTCCTTCATAAATACAATGCTACCTGCATTTTGGCTGACTTGTTTGGTAAGACATAAATTGATCTGGTTTTATCTCTTGGTGTTGACTATTATAGTAGTAGTAACTTGCTTGCTCTTTTAGAAGCACCTGATGGTACTTCTCTTTGGAGGAGTTCACTACTATACAACTTTTAGTCTTGATTTTGCCAAACTTGGGACAAGATTTTTGATTGACAGATATTGTAGGCATTTTTATCAAAGTGCTGCAATTCTTACAAATATAGATGTAGATTGTGAACTCAAGAGATTCTCAAATGGTTGTGAAAAAACAAATTGCCTTATTTGCTGTGTAAATTAAGATTTTCATCAAAACATGTTGGCCCCTAAATTATTTAATTTATATTTTGTTGCTGTGTAAATAATATCTGAAAGTGAAATATGAATATTTTATCTGTAAGTGAAATATTAATATTTTAATTGTAAATCAAATGTAAATATTTTATCTGAAAGTGAAATATTAATATTTTATAATGTAAATATTTTATCTGAAAGTGAAATGTAAATATTTTATAATGTATATGTTTTATCTGAAAGTGAAATGTAAATATTTTATAATGTAAATATTTTATCTGTAAGTGAAATGTAAATATTTTATATTGAAAATATTCAAACATGACTTTTAATTTATAATAAAAATTACTTGTCATTTGTTTGTATAAGGTTTTATAAGAGATACTCTCTTATAGAAGCACTGGCCTAGGTCACAAGCAAGTAGGGACTGTGAATTTCAGCATTGGAATACATCAATTTGATAGAAAATGACCTACTTCTAGAGAGATTTACAAGGTAAACAAATAATTCAAAAATGCAAAGCGATTGTTTCAGGTAGTTAATGAAAGGGAATCTAATCTACCATGGACAAGAACATTACTCAGATTTTTATTCCTTTTGTAAGCAGTCACCAAACGTTTAGTATAGATGTTAAGGGAAGGTCGACCTATATTATACGGCCTAGTGTGTGTTGATGTTCTACCCTTATCCTATCCATATTGCCATAGGTCTTGAATAGTCTTCTGAACTACTAGAACTGTGAATTGAACATAATCCCTTCAAATATACTTCAAAATAGAAATTTCTTTTCATATATATACATTATGTCTTTTCTATATTTAGCAGAGTCTCAAGAAAAGAAGATTCGTCATTTTAACTTTCAAATGCAGATAATTCTGAACACACATGGATTTAAAGGCTCAAGTTTAGACTGTGAGCTGTGAACACTATGGCATAGGCTACAGATTAGCTTAGCTGAACAATTCTATTTCTGAGACTAAGGTAGGTCTCACTCTGAATCAGTCTTGTCTCTTTGAATAAGGAAATTTTGTGTATAATATTACTGCTATGCCATTTCGTATTGTTTATTCGTATGCCATAAACGAAGAATCTAACAATTTCTTGATTATAATCAAGTTTTTGACTGGGATTTATTCGTTTTAAATTTATAAAAATTATGTGTAGTCTGAATCTTAAAATTATCTCCCCTGGCTTCTAATTTATTTTTAACCAAAACAATCTGCCACTCAATGATAAATGTCAAATTTAATGAGTGCTAATGGCTTAATCCCTTTAATCTTCATTAAAGGGGACAATTAGGCTTAATTAATGATTAGATTAGTGATTAAAACTCGCTGAAAGTAGAAGCGACTGGATAACGCAGCTTATAAAATAGAGTTGCGTCCCTTGAATTATGACGTCAGCCATTGTTAGCTTCCATGACGACGGCGTCGTTTTCATAGTTGTTGTCCATCGTTGATTATTCGCTTCATTTCTGATGATATAAACCGGCGAAGACTTGGTAGAACATCGCCAAATACAGCAAAAATGTCTTACAACACAGAAGGAACCATCTACGACCTTATTGCCGTAGAGGAACAGAAAAAAGCTAAGCCACCAAGGTAAACATTTCATTTGATAAAACCTTTTTTCAATCTCAAGTTCTTCTGGCCTAATAATAAAACTCAGGACGCTCTGGTAAACAAAATTTAATTCAAGTTACGCCACGGCATCGTAACAGAATGACTTGTTTAGGTAAGGTTAAGGATAATAGATTGGGGCCTAGATTTAGATCATTTCTGTGTACCGGGTACTGACTGTTCTGCGGTTTAACTCACTGGTTGAAAATAGAAAACTCATTTCAAGTTATGGCTGTCGCAACTCTATCTCGCTTGTGAATGATGTGTTCACACAGAAAAAAGGTCCAAAGATCTGGGACTGGATAGAACAGGAGACATTCCAAGAATATTATCAGTACTATTTTGAGGCTGATATTCAAATTCTCTTAAGAAATATCTAAAAAAATTTAAAAGACTTTTTAATTTGCTCAGACAATAATAAAATTTAGAAGATCAAGAGATTTTTATTTAATTCTATCTTGTTTGTTCTAGGTATGTGTCTAAATTTAAAGATACAGTTAAAACAGAAACAACATCTAAGAGAGATGATCACAAGACAATGGGTCAGGCTAAAGTTCCTGTCCCTACTACAGATAACTACCTAAAAAAACATTCTAAAGAACCTGTTTTACCTACCCCAGAACGTAAGTCAGCATATTGGTGTTAATTAATGAATCAATTAAGGGACTGGATAATTGGGAATGGGCTATCTCTTGAAAGCACTGGAATGTGAAATTTTGACTTCTCCAATGCTTGGATTTTGTGACTTAAACAAAAGGTGTATTCTGAGAAGCATTAGACACTGAAAGTACCTTTTGTTCGTGTCACAAAATCCAAGCATTGGAGAGGACAGAAATTTGATTCAAGAATACATGTTTAAGAAGGCTGTCTTTAGACCCTAACTCAAGTGGCTTTTAAAAACAGAATTTATCCAAAAAACAGTTTAGTTTGTCAAAATAAACACCAAGTGACCGAAGGAAAGACAAGAAAATGTTCAATGTTCATTTTATTTACCTTTTACAGAAGACAGCGGTAAATTTACCTATGGGGATGAAGATCACAGAAAACCTCCAATTCCATCTAAGGATGATAAACCCCTGATGGGACTCAAAACAACCAAAAATTTCATCACTACCAACGCTGTACAGAATATAACCTCCGTGCCTAAACGCCCTGAGAAAAAATACGTTGATACACGAAATGGTGATGCTCATAATTTGATACCATCAGGATTAGAACCTGTTTATGTTCAGAAAAAGGTAAGCTTAATTCAACTTCAACTAGCTTCTAAGCTTACTAATGCAGGGGCATTTAAGGGTTTATAAAGAGGTTTTCTAACATTTTATACAGGTGTATTGGGGACACGCATCAATTTGCAACATTCCAATTTTCGATCAGATGTATGCGGTTTCTGCATTTCCACTAAAACTTAGTGTTTGATGTCACTAATTATGAATGGCCTTGTGTGATAAAGCATCTTGTACTATTCCAATTCGATCAGATGTCTGTGGTTCCTGCAATTCCACAAAAACTAAGCCTTTGATGACATCACTAATCGAGAAGGACCATATGTGATAAAGCATATTTTGTTATTAGTTACGTCATCAAACACTTTGATTTAGTCAAATTGCAGGAACCATAGAACTTTAATCGAAAATGACTCTATTCTTGAGACTGTATGGAAGTAAAATTCTTAGTTTGAGGTGGTTTTGAAAGAATTATGCAATTTTTTTTACATATATATTCAAGACCCAAATCAACCCACGAAAATAGCGAATCTGTCTATTTAATCAAATCTACAATTTTGAATGAATGTAAATGTGTTATTTTTTCATTCATTTCAATTCCGAACGTGTGTAAAAGATTCTGTTTTGTCCAATTTTCAGGAATTTGGTGAGGTACCAGAATATATCGTAAAGAGAAAGGAAGAAATGATAAAAGCACAAGACGAGTATAACCAGTATGTAGCAGAATACATGAGGCGAGGTGCCATGCAGAAATTAACAGAAGATGAAAGAAGGGCTATATTAGATGGTTTAAAGACAAACTGGGAAGATATCCATGATCAATACCAAGGTCTATCTGTTGTCACGGATACCGCACCCAAAAAGAACCGAAAAGAAAGAATGGAAGCCCAAATGAAACAATTAGAACGAGATATAGAAATGTTCGAAAAACATAAAATTATCTATATTGCTAATTAAAAAGAAGTTTAAAATTTTAATTGTAAATATTTTGAAGTGAAGAGCTTTCACAAACATCTGTACATATATCTAGGATCTTGTCTTTTCAATCAGAAGCTGGAGTAAAAAGGAGATGAATTCAAAGGGTTACTGTAAAGAGGTGTTCTGGGACACTGATAGCATCAATTTGTACCATTTCAATTTTCAATTAGATGTCTGTGGTTCCTTTAATTCCACTAAGAATAGGCCTTTTATGACGTCACTTAAGCAAAATATGCTTTATCACTTAAGGCCCTTTGAGATTAATGGCTTCATCAAATACTTTGTTTTAGTGGAATTGCAGGAACAACAGACATCTGATTGAAAAAGGTGCAAATTGATGCTACCAGTGTTTAGAAAACCAATTTACAATACCTTTGATTTTAATTGCGAAAGAATGTCAAGTCATAAATCTTGATTTTTTATAACTCACTAAGTCCTAGAAAATGGATTTTAGATAATTTTAAGTTTGCTATTTATATCGTTAATATGGAATTATCAAGAACAAAAGAATTTGTGATACATTCCAAACATTTGTGTCAAAGGAATGGAAACACTTAAATTTATGGTCAGAATAGCTACCATTCTAGGACACATGATACCACTTGATATATTTAAGTTCTTCAACCTCATCAAATAGTTTGATTCATTTTTCCTGTAACATGTAATTGTGATAATATTAAATTATACTCTATATATTACTAATTGATTTTTACAGTACAGTTAAACTGCTTAATGAAGACATGGAAATGAAATGACCTGGTAGGGCTAATGAAGACAGGCAACACCATGCAGTGTGCAATGAGGAAAATTTTGCCAGGACAGCTGCGTTAGCTTACTCTTTTTCCATCTGTCAAGGGATCTTTAACGTACACAGCTTGTAGTACACGGGGCCTCAGTTTATTGTCCAATCAGAACGACTAGATACTTTTTCCTTGTCAGCCCCTCTGACCTGCATCACTGACAGGGGGAAATGAGGTTGAAGGTATCATCTTAAACTATGCCTGGATTAGTCATTATTTGTAAATTATAAGATAATTGCTGTATGTTAGGTGATAAGGGTGTCAGGCATCAGGATTTTTTCTTATCTTGAGCAGGATTTGAACCCATGGCACCTATTGCCTAGTATACTTATCTCTAATTATATAAATAATTCATTGAAAAATAAAGTCAAAATTTAAAATTTTTATTATAAAACATCATAAAAAAATAGTGTTGTTAAAACGTGCCTGGCAAAAAAACAATCTTGACAATATTCCTGATACCCATAAAATGTTGAAAAAAGTCACAAAAATCACATCTAAATTGTTCACAGAAATAATCTAATAAAAATACCTGTTACCTCTGAAATGAGAATGAGAAACTCATCCTTAAAGACACTATAGCAATTAGAAGTCATAAGTTTTGAACACAATTCTCATGTAACTGAGTTGTGAGATAGTCTCTGGTAATGGCTATGGTGGGAAAATTTTCTACTATGACCAGCAAAATATTAAAAAAACAACAATTATTCTGAAATTCTACTTATGAAAACTATAAACCAAAATCTAGAGATAAACAGGTATTTGAAGCAGCTAATGAGGAAGTATATCAATCATAAGTGAGTAAGTATTTCATAATGAATAATGGTATTAATTAGAAGAGTTATAATAACAAATAAATAACTAATGACATCTTTAATTTAAAGCCAAGCATGGCTGGCAAACATTATATAATATTAGAATTCAGCATGAGAGATTTGATACTATCTGGTAACATTGTTTTAGATCCAGGCTTCACTTTCTCTACAATTCTAAACTCAAATCCTTTCTTCCCTTCCAACAAATCTCTTTCATGTTCCCAGCTGAATAGAGCGCCATCAGTTGACACCATAAATGGGTTCACTTCAATCACCCAAATTCTATCTGGAATGAAAAAAAAACCCATCTTTTTTCACAATCAAAATATTCTAAACTTATACCATAAATAAGCTAACTTTTAGCATTGCGATTTGGAAAGGTCTGTGAGTTTTCTGGGTTGGCGCTCGATTGAAGAGTTCTGAACAGGTTCCATTAGTTCCAATTCTGCATTCAAAGGCTCAAAAGCATAATTTTACATTCAAGATCTTAAATTTTCTTCTCTGCCATTTGAATTCTGTCTGCACCTACAATATTTTCGGCACATGTGGAAAGCGTTCTTAATTCTGTTCCAACTTGTTTTATTAAATGCCTGGTTGATTCCATGAATCCTGAACGTGCAGAAGCTACCAATCGAGCGCCCCCATGTGATGAAGTAATAATCGTATCATACTTCATAATAGAAGAGGCAAATGATTAAGCAATTTCTTTACCTTTACATATAGCAAAGTCTATAATAAACTGTTGAGGGAACTTGGCTGATAATCTCGGTTTAACTTCTTCCTTGTAAAAATCTTGTAATCTAGTTTGTATGCGATCCTTGTCTTCCTGTAGTCTCGGTGAAAATATGAGGTAGTTGTACTGTGATATCGCTGTCATTTCAGAATCAAAAACATACGCCCGAAATTCCATGTCTACATCAATATGCACAAATTCACGCACCACAAAATTTTCGTGGTAACGCTCTTTAATTTCTAACGCTAAAAGTAGATCTTGATAAATTCTTTCGCTCGACAACATGAATTGCATCACTTCCTTTGACGTCGAAACCTTCATCGCTTCAAACGCTGCTTGAAGTAAAGCAACTATCTGATCATTTTCATTCTGTCGCTTTTCCTCAGGTAATTTATTCAAAAACATTTTATACACTTCTCCAAACCTTTTCATAGCCATCGGCGCATCTTTCGGACTACGGCTGGAAGTTTTAACAAATGCAAAACCTTCAGCAGAACGAGAAATAACGTCTTTTAAAACGACATCAAGACGTTGAGAAAGACTATCAATAATTTCATGTTCTTCAACTTCTAATTTCGACCACAAATCCACTTTTGCAATTTGTGCTGGATTTAAATTTCGAAATAATCTCTCAAAAATTTTTATAAATGTTTCAGCTTCCTTCATTTTGACTTCACAGAATTGTGAAGGGAATGTAATATCCTGAAGAAAATGCAGCCACATTTCTGTGTTCACATCCAAGCAGGTGTTTTGATAATCGGTAATTTCCTGTTTTGATATAAATCCTGCCAATTTGGGACTGGAATAATCTTTGATTTCATGGTCTGATTTCTTCAATTTTGCTGATTTGATTTCTTCCAAAAAGCTCGCCATGATTTATCTGAAAAATAAAATTAGTCTATTCTGTTCAAAAGAGTTTGCTTAAAATGAAAAAATAAGTGTTTCATAACTTCACAAATTGCAAAATTAATATGGCTCTTTGTGATAAGTGACATCATCTAAAGCATCAATTTTTTAAAAAAAAGGATTCCCAATAAATCCCACAGGGCAGGGCTTTTCAACCTAGAAATAATGACCCCCAGGGAGGTAATTTGGAAAAATTTTTGTGTGGCATAAAAACTTTGCACAATTATAATTTATAATTTTTTTTTTCAGTCAGGCTATATTCCCCGACATGAGAAAATTTGCAGGGAAAATCTGTGAGAAAATCACAAAGCAGTAAGGAATTATAGGGGAAAAGGGGGTTAATGCAATCAATCGAGGACCATGAAAGAGTTATCAGGAAACCTGCTGCCATAGGGTAAGAGGTAAGAATGTTAGTAGTAAGCAATTTGATTATTAGGTGAAAATAAGGGGGCTAACACAAGCTTATAAACAAATTAACACTAGCATGCATTCCATTATAAAACATGACACATTCATACCTTAAACTTCAATCCTTAAATCTGATCCATGTCCATCTCGTTTTTTCAATTTATCTTCATTTTTCAATTTGGTTTTTTCTGTTCGGGTATGCCAGACTATGACTTCATTACAATTTTTAGCTTTTGGTTCCAAGTCTTCCATTTTAATATTCATATTAGTTAATAACGTAGATTCTTGATACCCTCGCTCCACTTTTAAACTGAATTTTGCATCAGGATATTTAAAAAATAGACTTAGATTGATGGCAAACCCTGCCATGTCCATGGGAAATGGTCTATCTGGTTTCCAAGCCGTGAACCATCCAGTAACTTTCCCATTTTTAACGAGCGGACTTTCGTATCTCAAAGCTCCACTTAAACCAACCGGCCACACTGATACTTTGTTTGTGTTCCGCAATTCTTTAAAAACCTGTAAACTGTACGTATTGTCATCGTCCATAAAATACACAACACCTTTTGACTGGCTATCGAGATTTGTTCGCAACCATTCCAACGCCGCATTACGCTGTAACACCCCTCGAGGCTTTAACCAATTCGGATCTGTAGTTTTCAGTTTATAATTAGGGGGTGTTAATGCTAAAAGATGGGTGTATGGCAAACCACATGACTTCAAAAAGTTTGTCACAAGTTCCGTCTTTGAGGTTGCATCTTCCACTATTATCCAATGAAAATTGGGCACATGGAGAAGGGTGTGTGAAAGTCGAACAAGCTCTGCTTTCTGCTCAATTCTCGTATAAGTTGGCGTTATGCCATAAATGACAGGCAAATTTTTGATATAATGTCTAGTCTTCGTTTTTTGTGGATCTACGACTACATTGTTTAGTTCTAATTTGTATTTCTTCAACTCCAAATCTTTTTGCAAAACTTCACTTTGGTATTTCAAAACTAAATTTTCCAGACGAGATGTTTCATCTTTCGGACACCAGAAGATATAGAGACAAAGAATGAATTCAATTGTTAGTAAAATAAAGACTTGTGATCGTTTAAAGCGTAAAGGCAGCATACCTTTCAAGTTCGCTATTTTGGTGATGTGTTGAGCGGAAGTTGAGTAACAAGTTTATCTGAACGACGTCCTCCCTTTTCCCTGCCGATTTTACAACTTGACGTTCAAATAAGTACACAATAGGCTAGTAGCGCATAAAACTCTTATCTGCAGTCACTGTGGTGTTCCTTTCAATCTGTCCAGCGATAACTTAAATCAGGCTTTTGCATTTTTGCGGAAATTTAACATCTATAAAGATAAACGTGAAGTATTGAGATACATTTTAGGCTAAGTTGACCAATTTCAATCTGTCATGATTTTAAAGTTCTGTAAGATTATACAAATCCAAATTTAAGACGCCACTGATTTTATTTGAGAAAAGAAAATTAAAAATGTCGGGTGCACGCGATTTGCCAGCAAACAGCAGATTATTTGTAATCTGTGGTAAAGGTGCCGAAGATTCGGCTTTCAGGGAAGCATTTTCAAAATATGGAGAGGTTGAAGATGTATGGGTGGTCAAAGATAGACGTACAAACGAAGATAAAGGTGATTTTATTTTGTCTTGATTTTGCAATAAAAATGGCGTCTTTGTGATTTGTCTCTCTGTACCATGTACGACGACTGAAGTTTGTGTCGATTGTTAACCAAGACGCCACAAATAGTGGAAAGGCAACCCTTTGGTTGTCATTATCTTTACTTTGCAGCCAAAATCAGATAATCTGAGAAGTAATTTTAGTTTTCTGTTTATAATTAGGTGTGGTGTACGTCAAAATGTCAAAAACATCAGAAGCTGCCTTGGCTATGGAGAGTTTGAATGGTCAGAAAATCCCCAATCACCATGGTACATTAAAGGTATGCTAACTAAGGACATTCATTACTGGTCATTGAGAATCCATTAATCCAACAATGAATTTAAGTGTAAGCTTACAGACCCAAATCAAAACCAATGACATAATATATTGGTACCCATTCACTACGTTTGTGACGACTGTGTGTGAGAACTTCATTATGCTCATGAAATGCTTGTGTTGTAACTCAGATTTTCAAGAAATGCGATCTTCATACAACTGACCTATTTCAGCCTGCTTCCCAACTATTTAATGTATAGTAGAGATCCATTACAAAGCAACGTGGTCATGTCTAACATTCAGCCTATGTGTTGCAAGAATTCAATGTAGCTGAGTCAGTGGGCTTGTGAATAGTCTGATTAGTCCGAAACATCTGCCTCTATTCCAGCCTCTGATGGATATTTTGACAGTTGTCAGCTGGAGTAGAGTCAGAAGAAAAAGACCTCCAAAGATGCGTTTTCTCTAACATAATATTGAATTACCTTTAAGATGATTGTAAATTAGTGTTGGGCATCACCGTAACTTTTTTGTTAGTTTCATCTGACTCTGTGGCCTTTGACCTTTTGGCTGTGCACACAATTTTAATAGATCAGTTTTCTCAAAAAAAACTTTGATGGAACCAGAGACATAACATAAATGGTGAAGGGAGAAAATAATGGTATGACTGAACTACAAAAATATTCATCTTTTCAAATCTACCTGGGTTTCACAGATCCGAGGTATCTAAATAGGTTTAAAACCCCTGCTCCTTCGGAGATGCGGAATGTCCCCATTTAACAGGGCGTATTTTTCTGTCTCTACACCAACTGACATGGTGGAATAGAGACCGGTGTTTCGGTCTATAATCTGATATGAGATAAAGGTAACTGAACTCTGTCTATCTTGTGTTTATTCTAGGTAGTTGTAGCCAGTAATAAATCAGAAGGGTCAAGAAACGATGCCAGAGAAGAAGAAAAAACACTGAGATTGTTTGTGATCGTCCCAAAAACATACAATGAGGCAGACTTACGGAAAGAATTTGAGGTAAGACTGTGAGACATATGGAACTGGTATGTACCAAGTTGATGGTTGACAGCAGTTATTTTGGTTTTTGGTGAATCAGCTCTAGTCTTTTCATGTCAAAGATCATAATTCTCTGGCAGGTGGTTCAAAGATGTAATCTACTTAATGTGACGAAGGTTGTTTATCACCCTTATGGTTTTTTAAAACAGCAATTTCACAATAAAAATTGTGTTAAATTTGAGTTGAATTGTGATCTTCATTAAAGGGACTGTAAAGACGTTTTCTAAAATTTTTATGTGTATCGGGAAACTGATAGCATCAATTTGTACTGGCATTCCAATTTTCATTCCAACGTCTGTGGTTCTTGCAATTTCACTAAAACTATCACGTTTTATGATGTCACTAGAGGGGAACCTCATAAATATTAATAGTCGCTTCCAGTAGCTCCTCTCTTCGGACTGAAACTTGGAATAGTACAAATTGATGATATCAGTGTCCTAGATACACATAAAAAATTTAGAAAACCTCTTTACAATCTCTTTAACGCAACCTGAAGCAGAAAAATAGGACTGTGGATTGTGTTTATTACAGCAATTTGGTGATTTGGAACATGTTAATATTGTAACAGATCGTAACACTGGCAACAATAAGGGATTTGGTTATGTAAAATATAGAAGACCCTATCACGCTGCCCTGGCCTTTGAGGGCTGTGATCCCAGTAAGTATAGTTCAACATCCAGTTTTGTCGACACTCAGTTTTTTTTTCTTTAAGCATTTTGGATAGCAAATCCTCATCAGGACAATTTAGTTTGGAATTGTTGTTTATGACCTCATTTTATGCTGTTAACATATGTATGAGATATAAAATCCTCATCAAGACAGCATATGAATTGAGTGTTAAATTTCAATTTTCGATTCATCTAACGATCTGTGATCATCTCCTGCTGATGTTTAAGATATCAATCCTTATCCAGGTGTCAAATTTCAATATTTTGTTTTGGTTAAGCCTACACAAAAAGTTTGCAAGCTCTTTGTACAGGAGTGAGAAATCAACATGACAACATTTCCAAAATTTTGAAATTTTTGGCTGTGAACTTGGCCGGTGCTTCTATTGGAGAGTATCTCCAACACCAGAATAAAAAGATTATCTTATGGTTTATTTCAGGTTTTAAGCCCAAATTTGCAGACCCACCCCGATCAAAGAATGATCACGACAACAGTTTTAATGGTGGGGCAGGGGGATTTGGAGGGAATAGGGACAGGTCCAATGATCGATATGGGGGTGGTATGGGTATGGATAGGTCACCCAGAGGTGCCAGAGGTAGGTTACAATTTATAGGTTACTAATTTCTGATTTCCAAATTATTACTGTTACAATATCAGACTGGATTACTAACATTATACACTAACTCATTTATAACTTTTACTAATAATTAAAGGGACAGGTTTGCCAATTGCACCTAGGTCTCAGAAATTTTTCAGCTGAGTTAAGTGGTAATAGTGTTCACAGCTCACTGTAGAAATTTGAGTCTTCAAATCCACGTATGTCCAGAATTATCTGCGTTAGAAAGTTCAAAAGAGGACTCGTCTTTCCCTGAGACTCTATCATATATAGAAAAGACATCTATAGAAATAGGAAAAGAAATTCCTAGTTTGAGATATTTTTGATTTTTTACATTCTAGTACTTCTGAAGACTATTTACATATATACTAAATCAACCCCCAAATCGGCAAATCTGTCCCTTTATTATTTGTTAGCAGGGGTAGTTTATTTTTATTATTTGACTAATTAACCCCATATTAAGGCAACTTACCTAAAATTAGCAAAGTATTCAAAGCTGTACTTAGCCTACTTTGTTTCAAAATTCATGTAGTTTGTATTGACTAAACGTAAAAGGATATATAATAGGTTTTTTAGTATCAGGGACACTGATAGCATCAATTTACACCATTCCAATTTTCAATCAGATGTCTGTTGTTTCTGCAATTCCACTAAAACTAAGTGTTGAATAACGTCACAAATCGCAAAGATGGGTTTCCTTATTTTTTTAGAGTCAAATTAAGAAAACTATTTGATTAATAGGTGTTTCTAATGAATTATCATGTATTCTTAATCATGTCATTATGTTCTTATTGTATTTAAATAAGAATTTTAATCAATCATAATTGTCCATGTATGAACAGTCTGGATAAACAAAAAAGACTGTTTGACCTTTCTTGATTGGTCACTTATTGGAATTCTGCTGGTGATTCTCCTCCAATTTAACTAATTATGAATTAATTATAGACATGTGAGACAAACTGGTATTTTTGCAAGTCATTAGAACACCTCTTCTTTCTATTCATATAAGTATTACCATTTTCATTTTCATTTTCATAAATGAAAATAAGGGAACTCATCTTTGAATGTGATAAAGCATATTTTGGGATAAGTTACGTTATCAAACACTTATTTTACGTTGAATTTTTTGTCAGACTTGTGATTGAAAATTGGAATGGTGTAAATTGATGCTGTCAGTGTCCCCGATACACATAATTTTTTTTAGAAAAACCTTTTAACAATTCCTTTAAGAAATTAGCTAAGTATCTTAGGCTATAGTTGGCCTAGTTTGTTTTAAGATTCATATAGTTTATCTTGACTTACTAATTTACTAATCAATTATTCAGGCAACTCGAAACTATCTACATCTATTGATGTCAACACTGATTATACTTTTGATGGTATTTCTTATAAACTTAGTTAGATTTTCATGTTGAATTGTTCTGTTAGACCAGGGGTTTTCAATCTTTGGGTAATTCGAAATTTTTGCTGGGTAATGAGGCGCTTTGCAGTCAATTTTTGACAATTATTTTAAGTCGTTCTCATGTAAAAGTTTGCAGGGAAAACCTAAGAAAAAATAGCTAAATAGTAATGGTACAGGATAATGAAATCAATCAAGGAACCAGAAAAGGGTATTGGAAAGAAAAAGGTTGAGGACTCCTGATTTTACAGAAGCGTATTAGGGCCATTCATTTTTTTTTTTTTTTTTTGCAATTTTTAAGTTAGTATGTTGAATTTTCAAGTTAGTATCTTGAATTTTCAAGTTAGTATCTTGAATTTAGTCACTAACATAGATACTAACTTGAAAATTCAAGATACTAACTTGAAAATTCAAGATACTAACTTGAAAATTCAACATACTAACTTGAAAATTCAAGATACTAACTTGAAAATTCAAGATACTAACTTGAAAATTCAACATACTAACTTGAAAATTCAACATACTAACTTGAAAATTCAACATACTAACTTGAAAATTCAACATACTAACTTGAAAATTCAACATACTAACTTGAAAATTCAAGATACTAACACATGCTAACTCGAAAATTTAAAAAAAAAAAAATGAATGGCGCTAATACGCTTCCGTATGATTTTAAGCATGCTTGGATCCATTTTAGAAATTTTTAAGTTGAATTTATTCATAACTTTTTCTTGATAGTTAGAATGATAGATCCTAATTTAACTAACAGGTGTTTTACAACTATGTCATACTATCTTGATTATTTAAATGTGTTGATATTAAAACCAATGAACACTATTGAACACATTTTTATAATGTCCCTGAACACTATTGAACATATAGGGTCCCTGAACACTATATTGAACACTGTATTTACAGGAATGAAAAGAAGTTTTGATGATGATCTAGGTTATGGTTTCATGCATGAAAATAGAATGGATCGAGGTGGACGTGAGTTTATTTTTTTTCATTCAATGATTCTTGTTGAGTGAATATTTTGAAATTTGTCATTATTGGCATTGTTTTGCTGATGTCTATTGGGTCTAACAGTTATTCTTTTGTAAGCAATAATTTAGGTTAATGAAGTTTCCCTAATTGAACACTGCATGTCTGTCTCCATTAGTCCAGTTAAGACCTTATTTGCACGTCAGCCATATTGAATCCAGACCGAGGCTATGATGCAAACAATGAGGTTATCACTTTGTGGAAGTTGATCGTGTGTTCAGTGACGTCACATAGGTTATTTCTGAATATTATGATGTCACCATCTAATAATGATGTTATATGCCTTATGAACCTCGCTTTTAGTGTCTCAAAAACCAGGCATGAATAAGGTAGAAGCAAAGGCCTAGGTCACAAGTAGTCTTGCGTTATCAACCTTTTCTCTCTTTGTTTCAGCGCCACCTATAGGTGATATGATGGACATGATGGGAAATTACCCCAACCCCTCAAGTCAGACACGGCTTCAGATTGTAGCTTCACCTGGTCTATCTAACGCCTATCTTGCTAGACTGGCTAACCTGGTACCAGGATTAGAATATTGTGACTTGAACGAACAGACTGGTAGGTAATCTGACCTTAAAGGGATTGTAAATAGGTTTTTTTATAGGAATCACAGAACCCATTGGTTTTTCATTTTGCTTGTGGGTAACTACTGAAAGTGTAGTGGCGTTAAGTTAGTGGTCTGAGAAGTTGGTGAATGGAATCCCAAATAGTTTACTAAAATTGTTGGTTACTATTATGACAATAGACATTAACCACTCCTATCAACTACATAAACAAAGCTATGAATTTTTATATATATATTGAAACGATTAAAGTTAACAAGTATCGCATCGTGTATCGTGACTGTTGTATTGTGATACATATCATATTGTGACCCGTGTATTGTGATACATATCATATTGTGACCCTTGTATTGTGATACATATCATATTGTGACCCTTGTATTGTGATACATATCATATCCTGCCATGATTGGCGATACCCAGCTTTAGTCCAAAATACCGTTGGCAACTAATGTTTATAAGCGCAGACCTGGCTTAAAAATTTCTTCCTCTTTGTTAAACAGTATCCACATTATTTTCTCTGACAGGAATGGCGTACGTACGATATACTAGTCCACAATGTGCTGCCTACGCTAGAGATAAGCTGGATGGATTTGAATATCCAATAGGATCTAGATTAATGGTGAGGTATCCAGAGGAAGGCACAGAAGCTCGAGGATACGGATCCAAAAGGTATGTTTGTCTCCAGGTGGAGTGGTAGCCTTAAAAATTATGAACTTGTCAGTAGGTGTATTTCAAATTTATCAGAAAAATGATTTGAAATTTGAATGGATAGCAGAAAGAAAGAGATCTTAACATCGTCTCTCAAAAAACATTATCAGGAGTTGAGAATATCAAACTTATAGCAAACATTTTAACAACCTCTTAGGATGACCAACAAGTTGAAATTTTTAAACTAGGTTAAAATGAGTTTTCGTTCATCAGTGAACTTACCTGGTGTCATAACTATACAACAGAATCTCTCTATAATACAATAAATCTATAAAACTAAGTAATAATCCATTAAACTAAGTAATTTTAAAACATGCTTAGAAGAGTTTTTCAATAATTATTTAGTTTAATAGATATATCATCTTATATAGAGATTCTATTCTTTAGTCCTGACACCTGGTAAGTCTAACTGATGAATATATACTCTTATTAACCAAGTTTGAGACTATTTATGTCTATTCTAAGAGGTAGCATACCTTAAAGGAATAAAGACTGGATAATTCTGTTCAATAAGTCAAAGACCTCACCCTTATTTTGAAAATATATAGGGGTCGTTGAGTACAAATCAATCAGGCTTATACGTGTACTTAAAATTGAATCAAAAAATTTTCACTGGACAATTAATTGGTACAAGCCAAGTCGACACTCTGACAAAAGTTTCAACAGAAGATTTTCCTAATGATTTCAACAAAGATTGTTTCATCACAAACAAAACTGGTTGAGAAGACATGACAGTGAGTGAATGGTTGACGTTTGGTTCTGTTCGAGTTTTGAGTTTTGTTGTTGTTTACTGAATGTTTGTTTGTTTGTTGGTTCTTTGAACATTTAGTTCTGTTTCTGCAAATATTTCTTTAAAAAAGAAGAACAATCTTGAGAAATCCAAAAAGGTTAAATGGCTGACACTCTTTGCCATTGAGAATGTTTGAGACTTGATTACCAAGACAGAGAAAGCTATGACATTTAAGAGTGTCTTCTCTGAGCAAGACACAATATTAGCTCTCTACTGTCATTTTTGCACAAAATGACTAAAAATCACACATAGGTGGCACTTGATGGAGAATTCTGAACAGGCTCTGTCAGTTCCAATTCTTACCTCAATCAAACAGTACAGAAACAAATAATGTTACATTCAAAATTTTCCCTCCAATTTCCTTCTCAGCCATTTTGAATTCTTTCTGGAACTACTATTTTTTTCGGCAGATGTGGAATGCCTTATTGACTCTTTTGAATGTGCAGAACTCGCCATTCGAGCGACCCCCTTAGTACTTCTGCAAAATTTGAAATTTTGACCAAGTGTGGAAGAGTTCAAAAAAAAAGTGGATGACTGACACAGTGTAACCAACAGTATATAAGTATCAACAAGCCTTGCATAGTACCTTACTAAAAATGACTTACTTTTTCAGGACTATTTACAAACTTGTTTCATCTTTTGACCACTCTTCTTTCAGATTCCGATAAGCAACTTACCTGGACGACATTTTTAACAGACCCTGGAAGACAGGACGCAGATATCATTTGTAAATAGTTTCATAGACGTACCTTATATACAGAAAACTAGACAACTTTATTCTTCCATATAAGACGACAGACACCTTTTGGATGACAGACACCTTTTGGATGTAACGGAAACTTATTGACTGTGACACTTAGAAGACCAACTTATGGAAATAGAAACCTTCAGAAGACCACACTTCAGGAAATGATATCGACCTTTTGGATAATAAGACAGACCATGACCGTTGGAAGACCACGTTTTTGGAAAACTAAACAACTCTCAGACGATCATTGTACGTTTGGAAAATGAAAGTGACTTATGAGAATATGATAACGACAGCGAACATCTTGGATACAATATAATGAGACAGACCGCAAAGAATCAAAACTCTTAGATAGTGACCGTCAGAAGACCACGTTTTTGGAAAACTAAGCAACTCTTAGACGACAATTATAAGTTTGGAAATATATAGTAAGGGTGACAGCAAACAATTTGGATACAATACCAATTCTTAAGATCAGCATAGGACCTCTTGGAGGTTTTTGGATGACCTTTGACACCAGAAGAAGACAGTGGACAACAAGATGGACAACACAAGGACAATGGCTTATATATATATATATATATATGGGGGAAAGTGGTTGTGCCAGCTCATTAGATATAGATTTTTCTGTTGTAACATTTTCATTAGGTGACGCACACTGAATTCACTTTTTGTTGGCGTCAAACCCCAGCGTAAGGGAATGCAGGAATTTGATTGGCTGGCAATGTCATCAAACAGACATGTTCAAGAAGGCCGTCTTTAGAGCCTAACTAAAGTGGATATATTAACAAAAAAAACTAATAAAGAAGGAAAGCTTAAACTGGAATAATTCTAAATATTGACAAAGCTAAGCTCTGTAATTTTGATTTTTGGTTGTACGCACTTATCAAATACTTCTCAAACCTTCATGCTATTTTTAAAGTGCTATTGAATTTAAATGGTTTTATATAGTTTCTAAGAGGTTTCTATCAAATATACACACCCCTATCAAATTTCCTGAGTAATTTATAAAACAAACTTCAATTTTTGTAAGCTTCCATGATTCTTTTTAATTTTATTTTATAACATAAATCATGTAAATTGACGTAAATTATGTACAAGACATGATAAGGCCCGCAACAATTTCAGGTATATTGACGACAATTATGTTTGAACTGTAAATTATGTTAGAACTATTAACATAGACTTGTAGTCTGAATTGTAAAGTCTTATGTTGAAGACTTGATAAGGCCCGCAACAATTTAGACGTAAATTATGTTTGAACTATTATCATAGACTTGTAGTCTGAATTATTATTTTGTATGTAAGACCTGGTTTAGATTATGATGTATATTGAAGTAAATTATGTTTGAACCTTAACGTAAAATTGTAGTTTTGCATTCAAGAAATGATATAGTCCGCAACGATGTATAATGACATAAATTATGTTTGAACCTTTAACATACAACAATTTGATGTATTTTGACATTACTCATGATTGGACTTTTAATTATGTTTGAACTATTAACATAGACTTGTAGTTTTTGATTTGTAAAATCTTATATTCAAGACGTGATAAAGCCTGCAGCATTTTTATGTTTTTGGACTTAAATTATGTTTGAACCGTTACGTCAACTTATAGTTTGTAAACTGTACATTTTATATCTTAGGCTCATAACGTAAACAAAACGAAAGTAGCGTGTCATTAAATGTTTTGATTAATATGGACGATACAGAATTGAGTAAGATTTACGGTAAAGAAGGGAAGCTGACAGAAAATTAAACCCGTACTTAGGAATATTTAGGAAAGAATGTGTTCTTATCTCTTCAAACGGGTGGCTGCAAATCCATTTTATGTTTTGTTTACATGACCTTCTTTTTCGTTCTTCCTCAACCGCGATCTGATTTTTGGTCAGATATAAATAACACCAATCTCATATCCAAGCCCACAAACCAAAGTGTAATGGGCTTATTTTAATATGGGTAAATAAGACCAGGCCAAAACCCGTATTCAGGATACAATGTGTTGTGACGAAAATTATGTTTGAACCTTATTTCACTACTGTTGTTTGTAATTTGGTGTTCAATGTTCAATGACTATTTTAAAACTTTTTACATTCTTCCACCATGTTTTAGTTATAGACTTTGTAAGCTATTGTGTACTTTATTAACATTTGTTCTAGACTCTTTTTAGAAATAAATAGATCTAGACCTCAACTAGACACTTTTCTGACCCAATTATTTACTCATGGCCAAAATAAGGCGACTGTTGATTTTCAAGAATACCTGTAGTCTAAGCCTTCTGAGACAGGGCTGTTTATTCATTTTTTTTCAGTCGGAAATTTTTCAACGACCTGTTAAATTTGATCTCAATTCCCCCTTGGAGAGAAGGTCTATTATATCATAACCTACCGCACAGATATTGTCATGATGTTTGGCAAAAGAAAGGTCATCTGTATCTGATTTCAGAATCTGAGACCTTAAAGGGATTGTAAAGTGGTTTTCTGACTTCCTTATGTGTATCAAGGATACTGATAGCATCAATTTGCACCTTTCCAACTTTTAATCAGACGTCTGTGGTTCCTGCAATTTCACTGTCTTTGATCACCTTTGGGACAGGCCAAAAAGATACCAAATTGTTATCTAATTTAGATTAAGTTGGTGTCAAACAAAATCGTCTTTTGTATCATCCCCTCATGATAATAATTGTAACATGAGTATTAATAGCCCAAACACACTGTTCTTTATTTCAGTTCAAACAATGGTTTTCCTTCAGAGGAGAGAGTGAGTAGACTTTAGATTTTTGACCATTAGCCCTCAAAACATGTGTTTACATCCCATGAAATGTTAAACAAAGCAAAATCATTTTAACGGGAGAGATGCGCAATCTTCGGGGGTTTATTTGGGTCTTGAATATATAGGTCTTCAAAAATACTAGAAATGTACAAAAATGGCATAATAATTCCTTCAAAAATATCTCAAACTAGCAGTTTCATTGCCAGTTTCAATATATCACAGAGTATCTTAAAATGATGAGTCGTCTTTTTAACTTTCAAACGCAGATAATTCTGTACACGCATTGATTTGAAGGCTCAAATTTGGATAGTGAGCTATGAACACTATTACTGATTAGCTTAGCTAAAAAATTCCTGTTTCCGAGACCAAGGTACGATTAGTTAAAAAAAATGGGGCACGTGTCTCTTTAGAATGATTAAAAAATATTTTGATGCCAATGAAATACTGAGCATGATGAAACAATGGATGATTTATCAGGCTGCTTTATTGATGCCAGTCAAATACATTTTTGGCCTTATGTTTATTTATTTTGTGTTAATCTTCAGTTACCAGGTGGAAGTGAACCACGAGAACGTGTCCAGTACTGTAATATTCCCCTACCACTCCCTCAACCCCTGAGGACGGAGGATTCCCTGGTAGAACAGAGGTTATTTATAGTATGTCAACCTGCGGCCGTCCAGGAACAGATTTTACGTGATGCTTTCTGTAGATTTGGTAACTTGATAGATGTCTATTTATTGGCAGGTAAGATGAAAATTTCACAAAAAAAACAGGAAATTCATAAAAAGCAGACTTCACGCTCAAAGGAATTGTAGAGAGCTTATCTAAATTTTGTATTCGGTTTGGGGACACTGATAACAGCAATTTACACCATTCCAATTTTCATTCCGACGTCTGTGGTTCAAACTAAGTGTTTGATGACGTCACAAATTACGAATGGTCTTGCATGATAAAGCATATTTGTGATTAGTGATGTCATCAAACACAGTAGAATTGCAGGAACCACAGACATCTGATCGAAAATTAGAATGGTGTAAACTGACCTAAAATCTATGCTACAAACAAGAGGTTTTTGGAAGGACCCTCGTGCAATAGGCAACATGCCAAAACTGAGATGGGAAACTTATGTGATGTGCATGTTGAATATCCTTGGGCAGTTAGTTTTTAAAATGAAATGAAATGAATGGAGTTTTATGTCCTACTTTTCTGTACCATGCGGGCTACTGAAGACGGACAACGCCATGCAGAGTGCAATGAGGGAAGTTTTTCCCGGACAGCTGCATTTGCCTGCTATTTTTCGATTTCTAACTTTGGAGGGTTCTTTAACGTGCATAGGGGGAAATCGGGTTGAAACATCAGAGAGTATTATCTCAACTGGTTCTTTAATAATCTGCAGCAATCTGACAAAACTTCTTACATTGCACACTGCATGGCATTGCATGTATTGAATAGACTTTACAAATAAAAAAAATGTCTGTCTCCAGGTCGAAATTATGGCTATGCAAAATACGCAACAAAAGAAGATGCAATGAGAGCAATACAGAGTTTACATGGTCAGAATTTAGCTGGTCAGAGAATTAAAGTTTTAGAAGCTGAACCACCTAAATCTGGGGAAGGAGATGACCCTCATGATCATAATGGTATGAAAAAACTCAAATATGAGGAATCCAGGAGCATGGTAAGTGTTGGCATAGCTTTTTACATGTCAGCATTTATGGATTTTTTTTTTTTTTTTTAAATGTATATAGACCAATAGATCTTATTCAGGCCTCACCCATAAAGCATCAGCCATATTGCATTCAGAAGAAGGCTCATAACGCAGACACATAGATAAATCATATTTTGGTCTCAAAAACATAAGTTGTTCCTCTAAACTCAGTAATAATGATCACAGTTTACCATCAAAATTTGAGACTTCCAATCCATGGGAATCTATAATTATCAACGTGCGAGAAATGTCATTTTGACGTCATGTGTATACAGTAGACTCAATCATCCTTGTCTCACTTCGTTTATGCACAGCTGCATAGGATGATGATTTGGTGTTAAAAGACTTAACCAATTTTCTCGCTGTTGATCAGATGTTACATTTCCTTTTTCTTATTGGACATCACCATCTCTAATGATGTAATTTGTGGTATAAACCTCGCATTTGCTGGTTCCAAAAACACATCTTGAGACTGGCAAAGACCTTAGTAGCCCCTTTGTATTTTAAGACCAAGCCTGTTTTGTATTCTAAGACCAAGCCTGTTTTGTATTCTAAGACCAAGACTGTTTTGTATTCTAAGACCAAGCCTGTTTTGTATTCTAAGATTAAGCCTGTTTTGTATTCTAAGATCAAGTCTGTTTTGTATTCTAAGATCAAGCCTGTTTGTATTCTAAGACCAAGCCTGTTTTGTATTCTAAGACCAAGCCTGTTTTGTATTTTAAGACCAAGCTTGTTTTGTATTCTAAGATCAAGCCTGTTTTGTATTCTAAGACCAAGCCTGTTTTGTATTCTAAGACAAAGTCTGTTTTGTATTCAAAGACAAAGTCTGTTTTGTATTCTAAGACCAAGCCTGTTTTGTATTCTAAGACCAAGAATGTTTTGTATTCTAAGACCAAGTCTGTTTTGTATTCTAAGACTAAGCCTGTTTTGTATTCTAAGACCAAGCCTGTTTTGTATTCTAAGACAAAGTCTGTTTTGTATTCTAAGACAAAGTCTGTTTTGTATTCTAAGACAAAGTCTGTTTTGTATTCTAAGACCAAGTCTGTTTTGTATTCTAAGACCAAGTCTGTTTTGTATTCTAAGACAAAGTCTGTTTTGTATTCTAAGACAAAGTCTGTTTTGTATTCTAAGACCAAGTATGTTTTGTATTCTAAGACCAAACCTCTTTTGTATTCTAAGACGATGCCTCTTTTGTATTCTAAGACCCAGTCTGTTTTGTTTACAGCAAACCTCGAAAGGAAATAAACAATTCATGCCGAGATAGAAAAAAGATGGACTGACAACAGAAATATTCTGATAAATTACCAAGATAAATGTAGGATAGAGATGACTGCCATATTTTATGAATTAAACTCATATTTTTTAATTTTATTCATTAAAATTTTGACGTCTGTTTTCAAATTTACTGTTAGTTTTAATGTAATGAAACAGGGAGGGGAAGGGCAAAAAAACCCACCAAGCTTCGAAAGGAAACAGACAAGATACAAATATTTTTTGGTCCACCTTGCTTTGTTTAAAGAGGCAGTACGAAAAATTTTCATTATCCAAAACGTGGTAAATTATACCTGAAAGTATTTCTGAAAACTTCAACCTACAAAATAGTCCCTTTAAACATGTGTCACCAACTTTCAAATTACATCCAATGACTGTTGATAACATATAACAAGTCTGAAAACTTTGACAGAATGTTGTTGGTCTTTCACTATATCTAAAATAAGACCTGATGAAGACCGAACTACGAACGAAAAATACTATAGAATGACAGAAGACTGGCTTTTTACATTGAAACGAAACCGAAAAAAAAAAACACAGCAGGTAACTTGTTCTGTTGAATAACAGCATGTATTCTGTTTTGGTTTTTGTTTTTTTGAATTTGATTTAATTGACAAACATTTTTGTTAAAATACCAATGATGTAAGCTTATAAATATATGACCCTGGAATATTAACAATCAGATTAAAATGCAATCTTATTGACCTTTTGTTATTATTTTTTGTCAGTCTCCATTGTAATCTAAAAAGATTTATACCAAGGTTGTGTACTGTTGATGTTCATTTCAACCAATCAAAGCACATCATGTAGAATCAGTGTCTAAATATTGACTAAGAAATTGTGGGATAGCAAAACCCATAGTAGAGTGATACCACCAAATTAATCTTTTGACCTAACCTAACGACCCTTGCTTTAACCTATCAAATTTCTGCCCTCTGCAGGGCTGGGATTTTATGAGAGAGTGAATTGATTTGATTGGTTTAAGCAGGGGTCATTAGGTTAGGTCAAAAGGTTATTTTGATGACTGTTAAAGAGACCCGTCTGAAGTGGCTATATTAAAATTAAATAATAAAAACGGAACGAAAGTTTGGTCTTATTTTAATTAGACCGGAAAGAGGCCAATCTTAAGACCCCTACTAAAGTGGCTAATTAAAAATGAAAGCTAATAAAACAACGGAACAAAAGTTTGGTCTATTTTTAATTAGACTGCAAATATAGTAAGATTGTTAAGCATCTTCTCCTGTTTATTTCTAGGGTTGACTCCAGTATGGATCTGGATAATGGATGACACTTTCTGATACGTTTCAGATCAGGTCAGAAATAGAAGATGGTTTTTGGGCTTGACCTTGGCTGTAAACTGAAAACTCATTTTGGTAAGATTTGATGATAACACATGCCATGTGAAAGAGATTGTAAAGAGGTTTTCTTGATTTTTTTATGTGTATCAGAGAAACTGATAGCATCAATTTGTACCATTCCAATTTCCAATCAGACGTCTGTGGTTCCTGCAATTCTCACAAAACAAAGTGTCTGATGATGTCACTAAATGCAAAATATCCTTTACCACATAAGGCCCTTCACGTTAAGTGATGTCATCAAACACTTAGTTTTAGTGGAATGGCAGGAACCACAGACATCTTATTGAAAATTAGAATGGTGCAAATTGATGCTATTAGTGTCCCCTATACACATAAAAACTTAAAAACCTCTTTACAATCCCTTGTCTTTTGATTGTGGATCCTATTATTTCAAATTTATTCAGCAAACCATGTACACAACATAGCTCGTACAATGATGACCTTTTGTTATGTACAAACTGTGTACACACAGTGGCTCAACTACCATATGGACTGGTTGTATCAAGTCTCTGAGCCTCCGTCTCCAGAAATAGCATTAACGGCTTTAAATTGACTTACAGAGATATCTCAGAATGCAAGAGAGCATATTTTTAATAGAAATTTCGGGAGATGGGCCCCAACCCACTAAAGTCCACGGACCCCACACATCTAGTTGAGCCACTTTGATACACATAGTAACATCTTTTGGTTCCCTTAATCAATTACAGAACTGAATGGTGGTTTTAAAGAACTAGCTTTGAAGGGAGGTAAACTGGAGGTGAGACCAAAAAAGACCAGATAAACATTACTCCAATAGAAATCTGGAAAGCAAGGAGTTTGATCCACAGAAGGACCATCAAGTAGAAGAGGACTGAAAAATAACTACGAACTGTGATGTTTTACAATGAAATAAAACTTATATATAAAGGTATTATTTCTACATTTTCTTGAAAGTCTTGTGTCTATTGGATCCTATGGCATACACAGGAGGAGGGCCATACAGTATTGGCCCTCTCCTCAGGTCTGTGAGAGGTCGTATTTGAAGTGAAAATTTAGCCATCTAAATTCATCTCAGGCCATCTGAAATCCGTTGGCTTTTGTGGGCCTCTGCCATCTCTAAATCCATCTGGCTTCAGTCTTCACTCTCATATTTGGCCTCTCCCTCGGGCATTTTTCGGTCTGCCCCCATTTGGGCCTATGCTGCTATGACCTGTGTGTGCCTGTTGCAATATTTTAAAGCATGTCTTAAGTGAGATTTTCCAGACTTCATTAAAAATAACTAACAATAGAGACAGTAACTATTTATTTTCAAGATAAAAGAGTTAGATTATATAATCCTTCTCATTTTAAAATACATTAACATATTTTAGTCCATACCCTGTTGTGTCCAGGCATCTTTTCGTCAACTGAAATTGTTTGCAAAATTTTATTACTGACAGAGTCCTGAAAAGAGGCTTGTCAAACTCACTTGGAACCAAAGCACTTGTTTCAAACCAGCAAAAAAGCAACGGCACAATCCTAGAGAATTGCCTTGACTTCTGGCTATTCACAGATCGGCAAAAATGATTCACAGCTGAATATCAGCCCTGAATATCAGCCGCCATGTTTTACCCCAAAAAAATTAAGCATGCATCATAAATAAAATTCAATTTTTAACGACTTGTGTGTATCTGACAAATCTGTATTGAGGTTTGTATGGGGTAATTGCAATGCAGATGAAAGATATACAGAAAGATTGGAGGCAGGTTATTTTGTATGATTGACAACTGTATCTTAGTGGGCGGGGCCTAAGCTGTTTTCTTGGATTTGATAATATACCTAATATATTGTTATTCCACTGAACACATCTTAAAGAAACAAACTGGTGAATCTCTCAGAGATTATTATAATATATTCTACGTACACAACCAGTGAAAACAGTTTAACAGAAAATTCCCTGTCAAATTTGGAATGATTAGTATATTTTAATTAACAATAAATAGGCTCCATTTAATCAAAATAAAACATAAAGACAGCCATTTTTGGTTACAATTTGGTTTTCTTAAATTTTTAAATGTATTGGGGACACTGATAGCATCAATTTGCACCCTTTCCAATTTCACATCTGTGGTTCCTGCAATTTGACTAAAACTAAGTGTTTGATGACGTCACTAAATATGCTTTATCGGGTAAATCCCTTCGTGATTAGTGACGTCATCAAACACTTAGTTCTAGTGGAATTGCGGGAACCACAGATGTCTGATTGAAAATTGGAATGGTGCAAATTGATGCTATCAGTGTCCATGATACACATAAATATTTAGAAAACCTCTTTACAACCCCTTTAAACAAGACTTATCTTTAAAGGCCATGTTTGATTAAATCAAACCGTTTAACTATATATATTATAATAAATAGGTAATAAAACTAAAGATTGTCTTTTCTACCACAACCAAATACAGCCGATATAACTAACTACACTGTACATATTAATAAAAAAAGGAATATGTAAATTTGAAGGGGTTTTTATGGATTAATTACAAAGCTAATGATTGCACAAAGAGTCTAGATGTTCTTGTCTACCATCAATCTTTTGGTCTCCATTATAATCTAACAAGATTTATACCAAGGTGGTGTACTGTTGTTGTTTATTTCAACCTATCACAGCGCATCATGCAGAATCCGTTTCAAAATATCAACTATGAATGGGATAGCAAAACCCCAAGTAGAGCGTTATGACCAATCAGATAAGACTAAATTGAGCAAGAGAGTGACGCGTGATGGTTTGCCATAAATAGATTGTACCGTCACCAGTATGCAACTTTTGTATAAATCTCGCTAGAATACAACGGAGACCAAAACAAGATTGTAATCTGGCCTACCATTTACTGCAGATAATAACATAATATGACTATTGATGTAGAAATCTATTTTGACTGAAAATACAATCCAAATAGCCTTCATCTATGACATAGAGTAACATGTAAGTCATGCAGAAGAAATTGCTGATGAGATTATACATTGCAGAAACATAAACTGGAATTAAAAAGTTTATAGATCTATAATAATACTGTAAATATCACAGAAAAATACATAATGGAATTCTAAACATAAATAACAAGACTACATCAATCAATTAGAGGCCTTATTCTTAAAAACTTATAAGTACACTACCTCTTACACATAAAATTTAAAACTTCAAACTTGGTTAATAAGTGTATATATTTATCAGTTAGACTCACCAGGTACCATGACTAAAGAATAGAATCTCTATATAAAACAATAATATATCTATTAAACTAAATAATTATTGAAAAACTCTTCTAAGCATGTTTCAAAATTACTTAGTTTAATGAATTATTACTTAGTTTTATAGATTTATTAGATTATAGAGAGATTCTGTTGTATAGTTATGACACCAGGTAAGTCCACTGATGAACAAAGACTCATTTTAACAAAGTTTAAAAATTTCAACTTGTTGGGTCATTCAAAGAGGCAGTATACCTTTAAGATTAAATCCAGATTTTAGGAAATACAATAATCTGATTGGATGTCCTAAAATTGATTATTGTGATTGACCAATCAATTGACTGGAACACTAATACCATCTTAAGTTAAGTTTTTGAGAATAAGACCCCAGGAATGTCAGTTAAACGAAAAAAAACATAATACCAAAAAAGTATAACAAAATAATTAGACAAAACAAAGAAATTGGACATGGTGAGTTTTTTTTTTTTTTATAAATTAGAAAAGTAAAACACAACACAAAAATAATGATAATTTATGCACATATATTAAGACTCAAATGATTAACATATTTCAGAGGTTGTGAACAATTGTCAAGCTTAAATTGCTAAATTAATATAATTATAGGCGTTTTCATGAAATCCCCATAAAACAGGGTCTAATTTTTATGTCTATACACCAGCCAACAGATTTTAAAATAACTATCCCAGGCTGGAATAGAGGCAGATGTTTCAGTCTAATATTTGAGTTTTTGCAAGAAATTGGCTTAAATGACTAATATTTCTGAGAACTTGAAACCTCTGTGACAATATTCCAGATTTAAGATATTATGTCCTATTTGAGATAAATATAGCTCATAAAATTTGGGACTTTAAGCCTTTCATAGGCCAATGTTTATATCCCACAAATGTGCAGTAAATATTGCACTTGAAATAAATAAGCAATTTTAAATAGACAACAATATTATGCACAAAAATATTCCCCTTTCTTTAAAAGAACAAGAAAATTATAAACTTTTTTCATAATAATACCACATTTGATTGGTCAGTTATACTTTTAACTTGACCAATAGGAATGTTTCCAAATGGATTGTAAAGAAGTTTACTATATTTTTTATGTGTATCGAATACACTGATAGCATCATTTTGCAATATTCCAATTTTCATTCCAACACCTGTAATTCCTGCAATTCTACTAAAACAAAGTGCCTAATGATGTCACTAATCGCAAAGGGCCTTAATGTGATCAAGCATATTTTGCTATCAGTGAAGTCATGAAACATTTAGTTTTAGTGGAATTGCAGAAACCACGGACATCTAATTGAAAATTGGAATGGTGCAAATTGTTGCTATCAGTGTCCCCAAAATTTAGAAAAACTCTTTACAATCCTTTTAAATTATGATATCATACCCCTCTTGTAGATTGATCAGTTACATTTAGATTGACCAATCAGAACATTTTAAACCATCCAATTATGATATCCACAGTGGATTAAACCATGTTAAGTTTTATATAAGTATAATCTTTCTTCTGGGTGGCGCTCGATTGGAGAGTACTGAACAGGTTCTGTCAGTTCCAATTCTACCTTCAATTGTGCTGTACTGGAGCAGAATGTGTCACATTCAAAATTGTCCATCTATTGCCTTTTCCGCCATTTTGAATTCTGTCAAACACGTGGACCGCATTCTGATCTCTGTTCTAACTTGTTTTATTGAACATCCAGTTGATTCCAATCCAGAACGTGCAGAACTCACCAATCGAGTGGCCCCCTGTTTTTAAGAAAGTCAAATTATACAGTTGACCATTTTATTTAGGAGACTGCTATTTACATCTCTGCCATGTCGTTTTGTTTTCGACCAATTGCGTCAGGGTTAGATAGAGGGTCAAGGTCAGCAAATAAGTTAAACCATGCCGACATGTCGGATTTTGGATTCTGAAATAAGGAAGACAATTTAAAATTACTAACTGACAAAGGATAAATAAATTAATTTTAGCGACAAGCGAGTCAACAGCTCAGCCATTCATCACAAGCAACTGACATCTTGCTGTGTGCAGTATCTTTCGCTGCATCATTTGTCATGCGACAGAAAGCTACCCTGTTTGATATTTTTGGCACGAATGATGTTGTGTTTGCTCGACATAAGACGATAGTTAGGTCAAGATTTTCTTCTCAATGGCCAATCAAATGCCTTTTAAGCTGTCAGGTAATATTTTACAGCTGTTATCAAAAATGGCGTCGGAATCAGTCGCGACGGCTTTATCCACCTCTCTTCCTTTCTGAATTTTTTGTCATAACCAATATGCTTCCGAGAAAAGAGAAAAAAAACCTAACCTTTTTGGAAGGTTGTTGCGTTTGAGATTTTGATTTTGTCGTCTGCTGTGGTTGAGATGTAGGGGTAGATAATCCTGTGTGTGAACTGCCACCAACTGCCCCAAATAAATCAGCAGGCAAACCAGACATTGTAGCAGCCATTCCTGGATCTACATGAAAAAATATGATGGGTTACATTTAACATTTCTGCTTTTTTTCCAGCACCTTCATGGAATAATGAAATAAAATGCAGTTTTACACAAATTTGTATTGTCCGAATCAGGATTTTGCAACAGAGACTTGAAAAACCCTGGTCAAAAAAATAAGCCATACCTGGTTGCTGTAATCCCATCAAAGAAGACATGTCTAATAGACTAGATGGCATAAATTCTTTCGATTGGTCAGTTTCTGCAGGCACCAGGCTACTTGTAGGTGTACTGACTTGATTGATGCCGAACACCGCCTGCCATTCTTGAGTGAACTCGTCCCCGCCAGTGGACGGAGCGTTCATAATCTCATTGAGCAACGTCATGTCATCTTTATCATTATCTTCTTCCATATCTAGGTCTTCTGCTAGCAGATCTTTATTTACTAAAAAAAACAAAATGGAGGCTTAAATAGCTAGAAATGTCAGTTTTCAGAATCATAGGGGTCACTTGATTGGTGAGTTTTGCACGTTTGGATTAGAGTTTAGACACGTTCCATGTCGGCCGAAAAAATAGTAAGTCCAGAACAGAATGCAAACTGGAGGAGAAATAAATAGGTGGAAAATGTTGAATGTGACACATTTTGTTCCTGTACCATTGGATTGAGGACAGAAGTGAAACAGACGAAACCTGTTCAGCAAACACCAATCGAGCACTACCCATGCTTTCACAATGGTGCTATTGGTTAATCTCTGGCTCGTATGTCGTATCGCGAAAAGGACCATTCCATTTGATGAAGCTAAAATTGCTTACCTTCTTTGAGTTTTTCTTTATTTTTAGAACTTAAAATTGTTTTGCCACTAAAATCAAAATTTTCTATTTGTTTTTCTATGTCCTCAGTTTGTTTGTCTTCATCTCCAAAATCTATAAATGGTCCAAATTCATCATCATCAACTTTTTTGGTACCTGAAACAATTGTATAATTCACATATTTTTTAACTTTTCAATAGAACCATCCAGTTTGAAGAATAATAACATAAGTGAATGGAAAATAGACCTTATTCACACGTCGGCCATATTGAATCTAGATCGAGGCTCTCAAACAAACATAGGTAATCTGTCTCTGCAGTTTGGTGTCCTCCTCTTCCAATCTCACTAACTCAAAACTAATCATATTTTACATCATCAAATTCGGAATTGATTAGGCTATTTTATGATACTTTCATAACCTTCACACATTTCTGAGAAAAGTCTATTTTAAGCTAATTTTCTTGCTGTTGATCAGGTGTTTAGTGACATCACATAGGCTATTCATTCATATGACGTAATTTGCATTATGAACCTTGCGCGAGTCGCTTTCAGTGTCAAAGTGATTAAGGTTATTAATGACAGAAATTAATGAATGATGACCTACCATTCTGTGTATGACTAGTAAGACTTAATAATTGATTAGTTTTATCTTCATCTTCTAACGATAATAATCTATAATTAATACACATAGTAATTACATCACTATTACTACATTGATAATATATCTATTTGAAAGTACTAAGAGTTTGTAGATTTTACACGAATCCCATTGGTACATCTGATCCAAATTAAGTTGTACATACAACCAGAGACGTTTTTAGGAAATATCAGGTGAGGGGCTAAGCAGGGACCACATATAGAAAAAACATCTGTAAAAATAGGAAAAGAAATTCCTACTTTGAGGAATTATGTGTACATTTCTAGTACTTCTGAGGACTATTTACATATATTCAAGATTTATGTCAACCCCCCAAAATGGCCCACTTGTCCCTTTCGGGAAAGAATGGTTGTATATAAAAAAAAAAACATAAAAATTTCAAAAACACAGACCCTGGAGGATTTAACTCATCTGCATCAATACATTTGATTGCATAACAATGGAATAAATAAACACATACAAGAAAGAAGACACCAGACAGACAGACATCAAATATTAAGACACAACATGCATACCAGTGCCACCCTTCAAAATACAATCCTAGAGTGATCAAGAACCTTTCCCCTCATGCCATAAAAACCATTTTCATAAAATACAGCTCTTCATGTTTATTTTTAGTTTGCTACTTCAATCAAGACCTCCGAGACTAGGGGCAGACTGACTAAATGGACTGAATTCAAAATGCAGCAGCTCTTTGAGGCATCTTTGTCGCAAACCTCTCATGGAGGGAGCACCAGAGACGGTTCTCCCAAAATTTGCTTTGAAAATTTTTTTATTATTTGATCTATTCTGACTCATATTTTGGGTTAAAAAACGTATATAAATAATATTTTATAAATTTGTTAAAAATAAAGTGGGGATGCAGACCATTTTTCTCAAGGGCCAGAAGAGCAGGTGATAATGTCTAGAGCTGTATTTTAATCAAATTGAATCTTCAGTATATATATACCTATCAACTTCCTCTGGGTTATTTGGCTTGCTTGGCCTCATAGGCTTGGCATGAGATTGAGTCTTTGCTTGCGATTGGTCAGCTTTTTCTTTGTCACTTAGCAACGAACTACTCTTTTCCTCATAATCCTCGTAAAAGTTTGTATCTATTAAATTTTCATCAGCAGATTCTTCTGTGCTCTCACTTCATCAGGTAAACAAACAAACAACATTTTTACAAACAAAAATACAAAACCACATCGTTACACATAACTAGTGCTGGCACGATATCGGTGAATCAATGTATTGCAATACAACATGTCACAATACGCGTATCACTAGGTCTTGTACCTGTACTTGATGATATATCCATAAGTGGGGATTTTTACAAGTCAACGAATGGAATCACAAATATTTTTTTACTGACTTAGAACTATTTATAAGACTGTGGATGTTAACCACTTCTATCAACTATATTACCAAATATCTCAGTTATAAAGTTATAAATTAATATATATAGAAACTATTTATTAGACAGTGGATGTTATACCACTTCTATCAACTATATTACCAAATATCTCAGTTATAAAGTTATAAATTAATATATATAGAAACTATTTATTAGACAATGGATGTTATACCACTTCTATCAACTATATTACCAAATATCACAGTTATAAAGTTATAAATTAATATATATAGAAACTATTTATTAGACAATGGATGTTAACCACTTCTATCAACTATATTACCAAATATCTCAGTTATAAAGTTATAAATTAATATATATAGAAACTATTTATTAGACAGTGGATGTTATACCACTTCTATCAACTATATTACCAAATATCTCAGTTATAAAGTTATAAATTAATATATATAGAAACTATTTATTAGACAGTGGATGTTATACCACTCCTATCAACTATATTACCAAATATCACAGTTATAAATTAATATATATAGAAACTATTTATAAGACAGTGGATGTTAACCACTTCTATCAACTATATTACCAAATATCACAGTTATAAAGTTATAAATTAATATATATAGAAACTATTTATTAGACAGTGGGCGTTAACCACTTCTATCAACTATATTACCAAATATCACAGTTATAAAGTTATAAATTAACATATATAGAAATTATTCATTAAACAGTGGATGTTAACCACTCCTATCATCAACATTACCAAATATCACAGTTATAAATTAATATATATAGAAACTTTGAAGGTAAAATGTTAACTTTTATCCCATTACCCAATATCGTGATACATATCGTATTGTGATACATATCGTATTGTGATACAAATCGTATTGTGAAACATATCGTATTGTGACATGATTGGTGATACCCAGCACGAGCATGAATATCTTTGACTATAGCGTAAAATTTGATTTGAAAAAATAAGCATGACAAATATAATTCACCCCACAGCTTGGTTTGTCTAAAAATGGGATGGAAAACATAGACACTACTAATAAAACAAAAAATTACAACAATCACACATCTAGACAAATGAGTTGGGTCTGTTAATGGGGTACAAAACCAAGACATGGTTGCTAAGGAGAAATTGGCTACTTACGTTTCATCACCAGTATTATCTGTATCTTTTTCTGCTGGTTGTCTTTGACTAGTTTTCTCTGATAATTCTCTACATGGTTCAGCTAATTCCTGTCATAAAACAAAACAATTACAAATCTTATCCTAGTTTTGAATACTGCCTCTTAGAACGGACATAAAATTCAAGTCAATAACGAAATTGATCTATTTGTAGCAGACAATCACCTGCCACTCTCCTGCCAAATCAGAATCACTTTTACAAGCGAGTATCGACAGTCTCATTATCTCATTGGTTATATCATTCAACTGTTGGTTTCGCTATCCTACAATTCATAGTCAATATCTAGACACAGATTTTGCATGACGAGCTGTGATTGATTGAAATGAACATCAACAGTACACAACCTTGGTATAAATCTTTTTAGATTACAAAGGAGATCGACAAAAAAAAAAAAAAAAAATTGTTATCTTGTGCATAAGTCAATCCCTTCTATATAATATAAGAACTGTAGTCAACGTACCTTTAACAAGTTAAATTCATAATACTGATATCCTTTAAAACTTTCAGCTACAGCCGACATGGTGCGTGAAGTTTTCTCCCAGAAATGTAACAAGGTAGTTTGATAGTTGGCTAGTACATGTGAAAACATATTACATCTACTAGCAGCTAATAAATCTACCTTCTGCATCACATCTAGTTTCAATTTGTCAAATTTAGCTTTCGTTTTACGTACTTGGGTTTGAACCTACAAAGGAAGCAATAGATGTTTAGAACAATCAGTGAGTAAGCTGGTACAATAAGATAAACTCCATTTAAAGGGATTGTAAAGAGGTTTTCTTAATTTCCTATGTGCATCCGGGACACTGATAGCATTAATTTGCACCTTCCAAATTTCAATCAGACGTCTATGGTTCCTGCAATTCCTCTCAAACTAAGGCTAAGTTCCCATTCATGCGTTTGTCAATCTCAACTCGGTTAAGCAATGCAGCACTTATGCAGACAATGTTATAACCTAGTGCATTTCTGAAACACAACCATTGTCAATGATTCTAAAAACTGCATCAATAATATCTTTAGCAGAAATCAATGTTTTGCGAATATGATGTTTTATATTTCGTGTTTGTTTTACGGTTCCGATCATTAGTACTTTATTAGTATTAAAAATTTCATGTAATAATAGCTAAAAGAAAATCCCACCTTTCGAAACTTTTCTAACTGCTTATACATATCAGGATCAAGCTCTTCCGAGACTTTTTTCATCCACAAGAGGGCGCCTCTATATTCTGTACGAGCTCCTTCCATTTTGTTAATAGTTAGTAAGGTGTCTGAGATAGCACGATAACGAAATGTTTCAACTTCTTGATACAGTCTAACTAATGGCACTCGTAAAGCTAATCTGAAATACAGCAGCAATAATTTGTTAGGTAATGGTGCAGTCACACGAACAGTCTTGGTCGCTGATTTTTATTGCAGACTCAACAGACTCACACGTGCCTGCGCTTCCACAACAAGATTATATCGAATTTATGATATTAAACTCGTTTGATATTTGTCGCTGGTTGTTTTATCATCTGCAAGACAGACCGTCATCATCCAATCAGATTCATTTGCCTCGCAATGTTGTCTTACACAAGAACATTCAGTTAGAGCATCATTTCTGTACATGACGTCATTTGCTTGGTTTTGACAAGCAAATGGCGGCTGTGTGTTCTGATCTCAATCAGCATGTGGGAGTCTGAAGACCTTGAATAAGTCATCTTCACTCATAATTCCAGTCAACCCAGCTGTAAATGGAATCCCGAAAGATCAATGCCAAGCAGATTGACCTAGGACCAGCTGGTAGAAAGGATCCTTATTTGTGAGCCTGTTGTTGTTATCCTTGTAAAAGATAGTTGTTTTTTCCTTCCTTCCCAACTCACCTCTGTTGTGCTGAGAAACTCTGTGATTTGCCGACTGCTGCCATCATCTTACCAGCTCGTGTTTTATCAGAATTACTGTGTGATTTTAAAAATCGTCCCATTGCATTTTCTTCCATTGATATGGCTAAAAAGAATTTATAGAAAGGTGAATGTGAACAACAAAACACAGGACCGTTCTTTACCGTAAATCTTACTCAATTCTGTATTGTCCATATTAATCAAAACATTTAATGACATGCTGCTTTCGTTCTGTTTACGTTCACGAACAAAGCGTCTGGATCAAGTAATTTGATTGGCTGATATTTCACTAAAAAGATTTCAGGGCCAATTTTGATTGGACAATATATAGCTATGAATACATCATTTGTATTACTACAGTCTTGAGGAAGTATGACAACTGGGGACGTGGTTTGGACAGGATGCACTTCAAGTTAGCTTGTCGTTTATCAACAAAGCTTTTCAGTACATCCTCCAGACTGGCTTACTGTCATAGTTATGTTTTTAAATACCACATACCACACAGTCTATCTTGATATCTTTCTATGACTCGTAATAATTCCATACTAGATCTCTGGATTGCTTTAAATACCTACATTCAGAGAATACGAAATACAATGAAAGACTTGCAGGATCATTGATACAGTTATATTGCCAGTAATGTTTGACTAGAGCTTAAAAATTGTCTAATGATTACTCTTACAAAAAAATTGCTCTCCAAATCTATAGGCAATGGAGCTCACCATACATTCTTAATGAAAAGAAATAAATGGATTTTTATGCTCTACTTTTCTGCACCTAACTAGGCTAATGAAGACTAGCAAAGCCATGCAGTGTACAATGAGGGTAATTTTGATTTCCAGTTGTCGAAGGATATTTAACAGGTACAACCTATTATCTCAAATTATGCCAGGAAGCTCAAGAAAGAAAATATAACTTACCTCTAACTTGGCATCTAATTGTGAGTCAGAAGCTACCACATGTTCATCTTCCTTCTTGCCTAGTTTTTTAATAACAGCCTGTTTTGTTGTCCAATATGTTTCTTTCATTCTGTGTAGAGTAGAGGTGTTGGTATTCTCAACATGACGGTCATAGTTTGACCCTGAATACCCACGATTCCTAATAAAACACCAAATATTAATTAATAAGAACAAGTGGTTTTGGCAGCCTCCTGAGATTAGGGGTACAGATTGAATCATGGGGGGACAACTGTGGAAACTGAATTAAAAATGCTGCAATTCTGTGGAAGAGGCATAGTTGCAAACCCTCTCATTGAACTTTGGATTGACTTGGTGCATTCTGGCTCATATTTTGCAGTGAAAACATATGAAAATCGTTTTTTAAAATAAAGTGGGGGTACAATTGGGAGTGTTTTGTGATTACACTTATTGCAGGAACCACAGACATCTGATTGAAAATTAAAATGGTGCAAATTGATGCTATAAGTGTCCCAAAAATGAAATGAAATGAATGGAGTTTTATGTCCTACTTTTTGCACCATGTGGGCTAATTAAGACAGGCAACGCCATGTAGGATGCAATGAGGGAAAATTTGCCAGAACAGCAGCATTAGTCTGCTCTTTTTTGATTTCAACTGTTTGGGGAGCACAGCCTGTTGCAAACAAGGCCTCGGTTTATTGTCCCATCCGGACGACTAGACGCAATTGTCCCCAATACAAGAATTTAGAAAACCTCTCTAAAAGCCATTTAATAGGCAAGATGATTGCAGTAAGACAAGAAAGTTGGGAACTTACATTTTGAAAAGTGTTTTCCAGACTTCAGGGAATGAAACAAAAACAAAACAATAATGGATAAAGATTTCGGGTGACCTGGAAGACAAATAATATTGTATTGTATTGTGTCTCAATACACATTGTATCTATGGCTGGGTAAAATGATTGAAATAATTGACTATCATTGCTAAGAATTTATAATTTTGATTATTGATTTTCAAATATCATAATCAATTATATGTCAAAGTTATATGTACCCGTTAACAAGTAGTAATCTCTTTCACATAGGTTCCCTTCAGCACATAACTTACCCACAATAAACTATCATAACCAATCAAAGCAAGAATATACTCATATATTCTATGATGCAAAAATAACCCATGAAATTAAGAATTTCAATTTTTTTTAATTTAGTATTTACAGGGTTTCTCAATTGAATTATTTTGATTATTAATTGATTATTGATCTGCCATCGATAATCAATCTCAATTTAGTAATCGATACCAAGCCTAGCACTAATCTATCTTGGCATGATTGACGATACCACTGGTACACAAATGGGCTGACATCTTTTCTATATTTTGGCATGTTTATTTACTCATAATCAATGAATCAAATGAGCAAGCTATGTTAATTGAAATTATTTATAGAAAAAATCTTCCATAGAAAAACAAGCTGTTACATTAGGTCTGTAATTATCATTCTGTTAGTTACTATATTTAGTAACAAACAGTATTGAAATTTAGGCTGTCATATTTCTGCAACAAATAAATTTCAGTGCATAGTTCACCATTTTCAGTGATTGATTTGGGTCTTTATTTATAATATGTTTTAAATAGTCTTCAGAAGTATTACCAACATCTTCGATAAATCTGGACACACATAGATTTCAAGACTTAAATTTTAAGGTGAGCTGTGAACACTATTACAGAATAGCTTAGCTAAAAATAATCATGTTTCTGAGACTAAGGTATGATTGGTCAAACTGATGGAGAACTTGTCCCTTTAAGTCAATGCTCAGGTACGGTACTGAAATCGTGCTTTATTAATAATATTTTCCCAGATTTTTTATCAAACTATTAACAAATTTAAATGTAAAATCAGACTTCATGTCATGTTTGATTCACTGAACTTCAATTGTGTTTTTTTGGTCAAAGCTTGCGAACTAACCTGCAACAATTGAAGCATGGCAAATCTTAAGCCCCATGCTTCAATGCAGTCAGAGACTTAGTTTAGGTTTAAAGACATAAAAAAGTGTACTGTCTTCGCAAGTTCATTGGAATAACCAATGATGCCAATTTTCATCATATATTGAATTTGATTATTAGGAGCAAAACACTACTTATGGCAAATTTTGACTGAAATTTGACATTGTCCATTCAAATTATAATAGGTTTCAAAGTAATAACATCATGTGCATATATGTTTATGACGTTAATATTTTCATCAACGCGAATTCATTTTACAATAATCTGTACTTGTTAGAAGCTGATATTCCAATTGTTATGAAAATAATTGGTGAAATGCTAGCCTATATACCGACGAAATTGCGAAGACAATAATTTGTACATCTATCAGCAGAGTAGACAGAACCAACTGCTCAACTGTCAATCTTTTGATTCTCGCAGCCTACCAACGAAACATACAAGAATTTGGACGCTATTAAGCGTCAGAGACAAAATTTCATCGATAGGGATTGAAATGATTGAAGAAATCAATGATTTATTACCCAAATATTGCAGAAATAATTAAAATATTCAGAAATTTGTTGTCATCAGTCCTCCATCTTGAATCCGAATTGTTACGGAATATGACGGAGATGAACGAATTACGTCCCTTGGATGAAACTCAGACCACAATGACTTTGAGTTATATAAAGTTTAAACGTTTATAGAAATAAAAGAAAATCTCTTTTATCTTTTATCTCTTATTTGAACTGATTCTTTTCATTTTTGAATTTTTTTCTTATCTTATTTTGAATAGTTACTTTTTTTTTTAACAATATCGCATCATTATTCCATTAAAGACCTTATTGAATTCTAAACGCTCAATTGCAAAACAAGACCATCGTTTAACTTTCATTTGATTGTCAATGTTTCTTCCACCATGCATAATCGGCAAGCAGAGTGGCGCAGTGGAAGCGTGCTGGGCCCATAACCCAGAGGTCCGTAGATCGAAACTACGCTCTGCTAGATATATTTTTTACTTTATTTTGTTTTCCTGTATCATTTGACTCAAAATTTTCGCAGAATTTGGCAAATTAAAAATAGGGCCCAAATGTTTAAATTTCCAAGTCCGCAAAATTCTAATTGAGCAGCAAATCCAGAACAAAATTTGTGAAATATCTGGAAATCTATTGAGACAATAAATAGAGCGAAACAAAAATCTGATGCAAGACAAGATAGATTTCATTCGATCGATAAAAGGTGTAAGGGAGATAACTACATTTTACTTTCTTCTTTTCAAGAACACAGTTATGTGTATAACTTTGTGTTACGGATTGTACATTAGCTGTGGTCTGAAAATGTAGTTTCCCCCATTAATCATAGGCCTTATCACAGAATTGTAACGTTTTGAATTTTTTTCGAGCAGAAAGCCGTACAAGAGCTCTACATAAGAATCGAATTAATATAGTGTACAGGTTTTTATGTTTCTGCACAGCTTTAAAGATGGGTTCCCTTATTTGTTATTTATTATAAAATGAAAATGCTAATTTATATCAAAAGGAAGGAGAGGTGTTCTAATGACTTGGAAAAAATACCAGTTTGTCTCACATGTCCATAAATAATTCATAATTATCTAAATTAGACGAGAATTTCAAGCAGAATTCCAATGAGTGACTGATCAAAAAAGGTCAAAAAGTCTTTTTTTTTTGTTTATCCAGACTGTACATAGATGGACAATTATGATTGGTAAAAGCTCTTAATCATATGCAATAAGAACATAATGATATGATTAAGAATACATGATTATTTACCAATTAATCAAATAGTTTGCTTAAGTTGACACTAAAAAAATAAGGAAACCCATCTTTAATGATTTACAAAACTACACACTGAACACATAGTCACAAATATACTAACAATCAACTCAAATCTGTTCACCATGTTCTATCTTCTTTATACTTTATCCATTGGTGAGCTTCTGTTCAACTCACCAATGTGATCTCATCACTCTGAAATTCCTACTTTCTATATTTTTGTCATTAAGCCTTTGGTTTTCGTGTTAAAAGAACTGTTTCAGTTCTTTCCTGTATCAGGTTTAGGCGGGAAAGTTTATTATATTCATATTTCATGGATTGTGTTGTTTATGTGAGGAGTATTTAAATCAGTTCTGGATTTTAAAAGTATGTTTTATACTATAATAGTCTGTATATTGTGCTCTGTAAGGTTTTGCAAGGTCATTAATAGGCATAAGCAAAGTGTATGGCAGCCATTTTGCATTCTCAAGTATTTTGCATATAGTTCAGTTGTGGAAATTGTTGTAAATATTTAGTATTTTAGTAATTGCGCATTATTATGGTAAAAATATAGTTTTTAATAAGAGCATTGATATTTCTAGGTTAACTAAGGTATTTCACCTTATTATTTGCCATTTTGATATTTTTTTTTTATTTTGTAAAGACCAGTTTGATAGTTAGTTTAAACCCCCAACTTCTGGGTATGTATTTTTGTATTTAATATATATAATATTTCATTATTTATATTCATCATGTGTGACTCAAGTGGCATTAGAAATATAGTTTGTGTTTTATTTATTAGCAAAGTTATATTATTTTAATCTATTCATTTCTCTGATTGTTATATAATCATATTTATTGTACTTTCAAGGGTTTTGTTTAGTTTTGTAATAATAAAGTTTTGAAATGTCCCCCACCGTGTGGTCATTCATTTGCCTTGACCCCCACACGATAACATTTTTTCTTGTAAACAATACAAATTATTTCTGTGGTTTGAAGCAATTTTTTATTGTAACAAAATAGACGATTAATACCGAATGGAGTTTCGATCACGTGAGCGTCATATGATCAAACGTCATAAATTGGCATCGTCTGCAGATTTCATTTTGTCAACAAGACAAGAAAAGTAGAGTTTTTAGAACTTTTTAGATACCCTTTCTCCTTTTCCCATCAGCCCTAATGAAATACTTTTATCATTGTCTGTGTTTGAAGCCAAGTCATCAATAGCTCTTTGAAAATCATTTCATTTCTCATCTTACCCTCTCCAGATTGTTAGTTCTTATACCTTGACTGCAATAGTCACCTTTCTTGTATCATGGAATGCAGTGATTTGATTTGATTGTATCCTATGCTAGCATATACAGCCAATCAATTCGTCACAAAGACTGCAAACATTATATATGGCATTATGAATTTTTTGTCAATGACTCTGATTGGCTGTAGGGTAGGAGACTGTAGGCCTGTAGGCCTATTCACATTGATTAAGTTCGACTATACTATGTGATATGAAAAGGTGGTCATTGCAGTCAAGGTATAAGACGAAATTCTTTTTACCATGACATTGTGATGGAAGATGACAGGCATAATGTTGTGTAGGTCTATTCTCATTCTCAAGCAAGGCTCAATTTATCCCACTCACCTCAAAATCAAAACTCACCAAGCCTAATTTCAGTACCGGTATGCCCTACATATTTTCAGACTATTTTCTGTAAGCCTGCATTTATCTTTCAGTAAACCTTGCTAGAAATAAGTTTATATATGAATCAAATCAAGATGAGATTGCTCTAGTTTATTGAGTTATTGAAACTTAGTCCAGTGTCCAGCACCAACCAGAAACATGGCTACCAGACATTTTACCAGAAGTCGAAAACAACAAAGTAAGCTTACTGTAGGGAATTGTTATTTAAGTTCAGTTATATAAAAGATTCAAGTTGCAAAAATACCCATATGCAAGCTACAGGGGCCATGGCCTCAAGGCTCTGATCGTGGTTATTTTAGGACAGATTTAATCAAAGGCATAATTGATATTTACAAATGTTTCATAAAAATATCATGGACCTTTTTTTGTAGGCTTACACTGAGCCTCTGCATCCTTAAGCTTGTAATAAACCTATAACTATTAGTCTATTAATGGCACCCAACACTTATGTAGCCATATAAGATATAACAATATGCTTCTCATATTTAACTTTGACTTTTGACCTTGATTTCAGTTTTGGCTGATCCAACATTGGTTGAAAAAGATGAGGATCTTCAGAAACAGCTGAAAGAAGTGAATGAAAAGGATTGTAGATCAATCTCAGAATGTAGCACTTGTATCAGATTCTACACAGAGCATGCTACCTATCGACAGTACATGGCAAAAAAACGTAAGAGAAAAACATCAGAATTAGATGAGCTGAAGAGAGAGGTAGGCCATGTAGCATAATTTATTGTTCACAATGAATAAATAAAACTGTTAATAAAATGTTATAAAATCCTGTTAAAATAGTGCAAAAAAGTGTCTAGTCGTTCAGATGGGACAATAAACCAAGGTTCTTGTGCTACAGGCAGTGCATGTTTAAGATCCCTCAACAGTTGGAAATCGAAAAAGAGTAGGCTAGTGCTGCTTTCCTTGCGAAATTGCCCTCATTGCACCCTGCATGGCATTGTCCATCTTCATTAGCCCACATGATGCAGAAAAGTAGCACGTAAAACTCCATTCATTTCATTTCATTTCTTACTATTATAAATTTTCATGCATGTGTGTTTTCCAGACACAAAAAGTAACTTAAAATTGTCATCTATGTTTCAGATAGAATCAACAGCTTGGATCCAGTGTGACAACCTAGACTGTAGAAAATGGAGGAGAGTTCCAACAAGTGAAGTTGATCAGCTTGCTGACAAGGACTGGTTTTGTACCCTGAATAAAGACCCTAAATTTAATAATTGTGAAGTACCAGAGGAAGACACAGAGAAATATGACCAGCTAGCCATTAACTGTGGTCTGAATTATGTCAAGTCTGAATTTTGGGAAGGTTGTTTGGTCTGGGCGAAAATGCCAGGTTATTGCAGGTTAGACATTTTACCTTTCTTTCCATCTATAGAAATATGATGATTTAGGGTCATTTATGTTATGAAATCCAAACCTAGCTGCCCTGATGAGGATTGTTTAACCGAAACACATATCTGTAGCATAAGCTCTCTTCGCCACAAATTGCGAAATATACTTTATCACATAAGGCCCTTGGCAATTAGTGATGCCATCAAAGACTTAAGTTTTAGTGGAATTGCAGGAACCACAGACGTCTGATTGAAAATTTGAATGGTGCAAATTGATGCTATCAGTGTCCGTGATCGATATAAAATTTAGTTAATTTCTTTCACTCAATGACTCTATTTGTCTACAGCTGGCCAGCAGTAGTAACTAGAAGTCTAGAAACTGATGATATATGTGAAAGAGATGCTGATGACAACCCTGTCTTGTACCATGTGGAATATCTGGGAAAAACTCATTCACGAGGATGGATCAAAAAGTCAGCTTTGAAAATGTTCTCTGCAGAAAGGATAGAAGATGACCCAACTGTAAGTAAAACATTGAGATTTTTTCCAAATGGTTTGTGTATCCAAAACAGCAGCATGTGGTATTACCAGCTAGTGTCCTGACAAGGTTTTTATATCCGTAACATGCAAGGGCAGCATTAGGTGAGTTCTTAAACAAGAATGCTGTCAAGACTGGCAACAGATGCATATCAAACTTAATATTATTTAATTTTTCGGGGGAAAAAATTCCCCCACTCCCCAACTCTCAATGGAGTGGATGGCACTCAAGTTTTTTTTTGTAAGTTTCTTTAGTGTCAAATGAGCAAAAATATTTCATTTAAAGGTCTAAAATTTCCCTAATTTAGTTATTAAATTCTTAGTTTTAGCCTTAAATTAGACCCTAAAATTTTTTGTGAATGATTGCTGGACAATCAATTGTTCCAGATTATATCAAAGAAGGGAAAGAAAAGCAACTGTAGTAAGACAACATTTAGAAAGAATGGAACTGTAGAACATGCAACCAGTGAGGCAGTGATACTATCTCACTTAACTCCCTTTCAACGTCTAGACAAATGTGTCTTTAAATTTACTTATACTTATGAAGGTAAGCAAAAACATTGTTAGACTTGACTCTATTGTGGGCAATATGACCACTCACCACTACTTAAAGGGACAGTTTCACCATCGTTTGACCAATTATAGGCTTACTTTACTCTCAGGAACAGGAATATTTTAGATAAGCTAATCAGTAATAGTTTTCTCAGATCACCATTGAAATTTTAGCCTTCAAATCCATGTGTGTCCATAAAAAATTATCCGCATTCGATTGTACAAATGACGACTCATCTTTTCTTGAGACTCTACCATATAAAGAATAGACATATATATAAAAGGCCTAGTTTGACTTGTAATATTTCTGAAGACTATTTACATATATTCAAGACCCAAAATCAAACCCCAGAAAATAATTTTCAATGGTAGAAAATATGTTTTAAAAAGATCCTCTTTCTTTCTAGATTCATTGCTGGATGACAAAATTTC